TCAGGGTAAGTTCTCTGAAATCTCAGCGTATTCATTGCACATGGCCAATATTTTCTGAATGTTGTATTCTATATCCTGAGGTTTCCCCATTAGCCCTGAGGTGTCAGGATGTTATCGGGTTCAACCCGGCTACAGCGAGACCCATGGGGTCGTCCATTCATTCCTGTCATTTTCTCCCTGAAGAATGTGCCCGTATGCTTGTGATGTGTCTTAAGCCTAGGTGGCAACAAGAGTGACTGCAAAGGCTATTCTGCCAATGCTCCTGAGCACAATAGCGTGCATGGAAAGCCCCCACATCGGCTATTAGTTATCCTGAAATATTGGAGTTTATAAAATGTATGATGAGTGTTTTGTGTAATGGAAAACAGTAGTACTGAGGATATGGCTGTACTTGCTCTACTTTCTGTTACGGTACATTCCGGTATGTAACAGCATACCGTCATCGCCCGGATATAAGACATATATGTCTTATCTCATACACTAAAAAAAATGCTTGGGTTATCTTGTATTTGGGGAGGTTTTGGGTGTCTTATAAGTCTTATAAATGGAAACTTTTTTTAACTACTTTAAAATATTTTCACACATCTTGAAAAGAGTTTCTCATTATGAGTGTGGATGTTGCGAAGGTGCCACTGTGGCAACCATTGTTCGGGACGCCACGTCATGGAGAATACTTGCAGGGGCAAATTTGGTAGTACGTGAGTCAGCACGTGGCAGAATTCGTCTGTCGCAAGGGTAAAAATGTACGCGGTATTTCGATTTTCACTATAATATATTGCAGTTTCGATTATAAGACACATATGTCTTATCTCGTACACACAAATAGGTGTCTTATAATGAGGCTAGCCTGTTTATAAGAGACACCCGTATAATAGACAACCCCTGTCTACTATTCAACACTGTCTTATATCCGGGTGATGACGGTACTTGTAACCAATTAACTATACAGTAGCTACAGTAATGTCACCAATTGAGTCAAGATTTGGGGTGGAAGTGGAGAAGGAAGCAAGCGTGTGGGATTTTCTTGAAGCCTTCTCTGTAGTGGACGGACGGAGGCAAGATGGGAGGGATAGATTGAAAGGGATAGGGAGAGAAAGGCAGGGAAGGGATTGAAAAGAGAAAGGGATAGAAAATGGGTAACAGAAAGGGCTTGCACTGTTAAGGAACCAGACATTGTTGTCAACCACGCACACCAAAAAAGACAACTACCAAGTGGGTAGTTGCTGTGAAGAGGCAGGAGCACTGACTCCTTGGAAGGATGAGTATAGCATCAAGGTTGATTGATATGAATGTGGCACAGTATGTTGTATCAGAATGGGGAAGTGCAGGAAGCGCTGCCACAGTTGTTTTTTACTGTGCTGTATCACTATGCTGTGATGAAATTCATTTACTGTGGTCTCCCAACTTGTCTATGGAGCAAAGCATTGTCAAGCATACGGTAGATGGGTTGGGGTCAAGAATATGGTTACATGGTCGGCATAAACAAATATACAACTACACAAACCAAGGTCCATCATTCCTGCTGGTAAGAAGTTTGGTTCTTCACATTTTACCGTGCAGCACCGCATTACACCTTGCGATCAGATACCATCGCCACAGCACAGCTCAATTGGGATGCGACATGAGAGTAGGAATGTACCCTCAACTCTGGAAAAACAGCTGCAGGGCCTAAATTGGGGACCTAATTTGGGGGCCTGGTTTGGGGGGTCACCGCAGCCACTGGAATGTACCATGATTCAGTCATCATCGCTGTCAAATCCCAAGGCGCAGCCAGTGGCTGTCAACGAAACCCTTTCTCTTCTTTGCGATCACAGCACAAGGGTGTAGCTTCGGTTGTGCGTCACAATTTGGCTAGCCACTTGCAGTTTGGAATGGTTGTTGGGCCATCCCAGTCACGGGAGAGGTTAGCAGCTGTCCACCTGCAATGGATGTGGCAGCATCACACTGCTGCATTGGTACACTGCTGATCTCCTCTTGTGATGAGTCGATTTTTTTAGTCGACTAAAAAATCGACGCATCACAAGCCGCTGTCCATCTGCAGAGGATGTGGCAGCATCACACTGCTGCATTGGTAAACCGCTGATCTCATCCTCTGCAGGCTTGAATCTGACCGTGAGTGAGTTCAGTGCAGCAAGGGTGGCAACTGACAGACTGGAACTTAAGAACCCCTGCGCTCAACTGTTGCTGCTGCTGTTGCTTCTGCATCGTCTGCTGCTGCTGCTACCACATGCTCTTGATGTCCACCTGTAGCAGGTGGATTCACATTTTCCAAGCAGAGAAACAGTTTTCCAAGCAGAGGCAGAGAAACAGTTTTCCAAGCAGAGGCAGCGACAGGGTGAAAGGGAAATGGTACAGCGTTCTGAAATCAGGTGCTCGAATCTGCATTTATCTGACACGCAAGGACCCAATCAGCAGGTATCAGTGGCATTTCTATACCTTTAGGAACACCACGGGCCTGCTGAGGACCCGGATGGGGGGCAAAGTAATACTTAGGCGGTGTGGGCAGCTGCAGGTAACATTTAAGTAAACTTAAAGGTCAGACGGTGTGGGCAGCTGCAGGTAACATTTGAGTCAACTTGAAAGTCAGACGGTGGGGGCAGATGCAGGTGATCTGTAGCTTGTAAACCATGTCAGAGCTTTTGAGTAACATGATGTAGCCAGAAACCTGCCAACTCTGATACAGCCAGAAACCTGTCAACTCTGCTACAGCAATACAAATATGACACCCCACTCTCCAGTCCATATGGGTGAATTGCCCGAAACCTGTCCACTCTGCTACAGCCAGAAACCTGCCAGCTCTGTTACAGCCAGAAACCTGTCAACTCTGCTACAGCCAGAAACTTGTCAACGCTGCTACAGCAATACAAATACGATTATGTAGCCCACTCTCCAGCCCATATGGGTGAATTGGCAGAAACCTGTCAACTCTGCTACAGCCAGACCTTCTCTGCATCATCACTGTCGAACCGTTAGCCTGCCCGTCTTTCTCCTGCAAACCCCCTCCCCCTCCTGCAGATTCTTCGCCTGCCCCTCCCTTTATCGCACTGCTGCTGCGAGCTCCTCGATCTGCTCCCTGAGTGCACTGTTCTTCGACTGTAAACAAAGATTTGAGAGTGGAAGGTGGGGAAGAGGAGCGCAAAACAAGGATGCTTCCAGCATTAGGCTCACGCTCCCTGTCTTACACGCTTCGCTGCACTGCTGCTGCGAGCTCCTCGTTCCGCCCCCTGAGTACGCTGTTCTTTGTCCTGCAGCCCGACTGTAAAGGTGGATTTGAGAGTGGAAGGCAGGGAAGAGGAGCATAACAGCTGGGGTGTTTCAAGCATTAGGCTCACGCTCCCTGCCTCACACGCTTCACTGCTGCTTCCCTGCTCATGCAGCCATGATCCACCCAACTCACACTCATCAATCTGAGTTCGTGCAGCAACAGCCACAGCATGCGGGTTGTTCAGCAGCCATTGCGGGTGGTGAGTGTGTAAGAACCACAACACGTGTGCAGCGGCTACACATATGATGGAAATGGGACAGCATATGCAGCTACACACTTGTGTGGCGTTTTTCACAAGATTTAGCCGTTGGGGGGGGTTCGGTGGAGGGGCAGAAATCGCCAGTTGCTGTTGAATTTGCTCCACTCTCCACCTCAATGCTGCTAGCACCTCGTCCCTTCAGAGCCGACTCAAAAAGCACCAGTCATGCAAACTCAGCAGCTGCTGCATACAGCAAAACACTATCTGGTAAAGCCCTCTTTTTCATTCCTTTCTGAATCAACACCACACTAGACCCCATCCTTGAACTTGGCAAACTTGTGAAGCTGCTGCTTCAGGCTGTGCTCCCCCACCCACTCTGTTCCAAAGGCAACCTTTCCTCACTCCAGTCTTACAGCATCAATTGCCCACAAATCCTCCGTCCCAACCCCTCTCTCTTGCATTTCGATTTTTGCAAATGCTTGAAAGTGCTGCTTCAGTCTGTGTTGCCCCAACAGACCAGCTTTTGTTCACTCGAATATCAGCACACACTCGCCTACACTACACCCCCTGACCCCTCCGCCTCTCACCTTGAAGCATGAAGTGTGTGAATCATTACATGCGCTGCTTGAGGTTTTGCAGCCTCAATAACCCCTGTCGATCGGCCTCCACTATTTCCAGCTGCTGCTGAACGTCCAGCAGGTGTTGCTGGTAGGCGGACAAGAAGAGACAATGAAGCAGAGAAAAGAAGCGCAGAGAAAATGAATGAGAGAGGTCACGTTTGAGGTGAAATTAGATTGTTTCTGAGAATCTCAAAAACAACTTAATTTCACGTAGGAAGCAGAAAAAAGAAAGGTCGAGGAAACAAATGAGTGAGCTCAGGTTACCGGATGGTCGTCCAGGTGGGGGATGAAGGGGAGGATGGGTTGCAAAGTGAAGGGGTGGGATTCCTTTCTGCCTTCTCCACCTGCTGCTGCTTCTGCTGCTGCACTCCCAGCTGCTGTTTCCCTACCACTTCCTTCCACCCGGCAAAAGCTTCACACCTTAAGCTGAGCGTTTTCCTGGGAAAGTGCTAATTCTCTTTGCACACACTGGTCAGCCAAGCTTCTCTGCAACGCCACTTCCATACGCAATCGCTCCATCTCCTCCAAAGCCCTGTGGTCATGGCGAGAGGACAGAAAGGCAGGGGATAAGGTAAAGGGAATGCAGAACGAGCTCTTTGACACTAAACATGATCTGAAATTCTCTAGAGTGCATAGGGGGTTTATTGGAATGAAGTAAATTTTGGGAATGCCCGAAGCCACTTGAAATAACTCCACCAAGGCCTGGATGGGTTGGGTGATGGGGCCACAATGCTGTGACAGTCAGAATTGCCAATTGAGCCTCTATCCAGCCATTCTGATTAGTTACAGGGGCTTATTCCCGATTCACTTGAATGGGACCGTCCAGAGCAAGAGTCATTCTGATTGGCACAGGAAAATGGTGAAGTCAGACGTGCACAGGAAAACTGCGGATTGGCACAGAGAGGGCAAGGGCGAGTTATTTCTCAGTTTCATGAATGAGGGGGTTCAGAGCAGAGCAAGAAGAGAGGGGAGGGGATGAAATGGGGAGAGGCAAAGAAGGCGGAAGGCAGAGGAGTGGAGCAGAGATGGCGAGGGAGAAGTAAATGGTGGCCCACGCCTCGTTCTCATGAACAGAGCAGAGGGGGGCGGATGACATGAGGAGCGGGGAGTACGGAAAAAGGCGGAGGAGTACAGCAGAGAGGGCAAGGGAGAAGGGGCTTACGTCTCAGTCTTGTGAATGAGAAGGTGCTGCTGCGAGCGAAGCTGGCGAAACCTGCGGTACAACGTATGCTCCTGGGGGAGAGAGCATGGGGAGAGAGCATGGGAGACAACACAGGGAGAGTGTTGGGAGAGCAAGGGGAGAGTATGGGGAGAGTGTTAGAACTTGAGCTTAGAACACTTGCACTGGGGATGCCCGATTGATCCTAGGGAAGGGTTACAAACTCTTTGCCCTCGGGGGTTATGGGCGCACTGACCCGCTACTTAATAAGCCATTTTATCCCAGTGGTTAGTGGCTAGGATTCTGACATGGTATTAGAGCGGTCTCGGGTTCGAATCCCCATGTGCGCACTTGCTGGCGGGGTCGTTGTGCCGTGTCCTATGGCATCCCAGTGAAGGGGGGTGTCAGAACACTTGCACTGGGGATGCCCGATTGATTCTAGGGAAGGGTTACAGGCTCGTTGGCCTGGGGGGTTATGGGCGCACTGACCCGCTACCTAATAAGCCATTTTATCCGAGTGGTTAGTGGCTGGGATTCTGACAAAGAGGGCATGGGAGACAGCACAAGAGAGAGAACCGGAGAGAGCACAAGAGAGAGCACGAACTACCTTCCAGGCCCTAGTGAACCCACCTTTTTCAGCTGCTGCTGTTTCCATCTCCACGCCTCCTCATCAGACATCTCCAGCATTGTCACTCCTGGTGATGCTCCTGAATTTTGTGCCGACTCAATAGTCAGATCCACCACTGGCACTCCTGCTGGTGCTCTTGCAGGCGTTCCTCCCGCACACCCACCACCGCCAACAGCAGCTGCGACAGCCACATACGCACGGGTGCTCACAACCAGCTCCTCTCTGTGCTCTACTGCCACCACCATTCCTTTCGCAACATTCTCACCCACAACTTCCAACACAGCCTGCGATACCACCTCCCCCACCTCTCGCCCTCTCTCCTCCTCCGATTCCTCTACCCTCCTCACCAGATCACCCACTTGTTGCTGTACCTCATCTCTATCCTCCCTCACCCTCTTTACCTCTTCCAACGCTCGCCCTCTCTCCTCTTCCAATTCCTCTACCCTCCTCACCAGCTCACCCACTTGTTGCTGTACCTCATCTCTATCCTCCCTCACCCTCTTTACCTCCTCCAACACTCGCCCTCTCTCCTCCTCCAATTCCTCTTACCTCCTCACCAGCTCACCCACTTGTTGCTGTACCTCATCTCTCTCCTCCCTCACCCTCTTTACCTCCTCCTCCTGCCCTGCCAATCGCTGCTGACTTTTGAGCCGACTCAATAGTTAGATCCACCACTGGCACTCCTGCTGGTGCTCTTGCTAGCACTCCTTGTAATGCTCTTGCAGGCGTGCCTCCCACATACCCACCACCTCCTACAGCAGCTGCAACAGCAACACACGCAGCGGTGCTCACAGCCACCTCCTCTCTGTGCTCTACTGCCACTGCCCTTCCGGACACAACAATCTCACCCACCCCTTCCAACATAGCCTGCGATACCACCTCCAACACCTCTCTCTCGCCCTCTCTCCTCCTCCGCTTCCTCTACCCTCCTCACCAGCTCACCCACTTGACGTTGTACCTCGTCTCTCTCCTCTCTCACCCTCTTTACCTCCTCCATCACTCGCCCTCTGAAAGGCTGGTCCTCTGCAGAGATCCAACACGCCTAAATAAGCAGTTATCATGAGGAGCAGGGCGCTAGAGCAGGGCAGGGAGAATCGCACCTTGAGCCGCGTGTTTTCCTTCTGCAGGGCGCCCTACTGGCCCACTGCGGCCTCGTTCACCATTGCCTTGTTGCGCACCTTCCTCGCCCCCTCTGCAAACTTGAGCGTGCTGAGCGACTCATGGTGCGACATGCGGGTGGGAGAGAGAAAGAATACACATGAGATAAACCATTTGAGACACAAGAGGCATGGCATAGGGATAATCTTCAGGAGAAGACACAAGAAATGAGGAAGAGAAGAGACCTACTGTGCGAATGGGATGATGTAGCTTTCGGACATCTCAGCACTCACTCTGCAGCAGGGTTGATGCACGCGATCATAGTGATCCGCGAGTTTCCACCAAGGAAGTCCTGCATTCGAGAACCAAAAGAGTCCACTTGGAGGAACATTTTGTTTGTTTTCTTTAGCTAAACTTATCTCCCGGGGATATTTCACATGGTGGGATGTGTTTTGGTCGAATCAAAACTGGGACGGGATGCCGCGTGCTTGAATGTCACTACAACAGTGTGACGGCTTTTGATAGCTAGTCAACAAGAGCCAGATACTGAGGTCCACTTGAATGTGCAGAATTAAAAAAATAAAACCACTGGCTCTAACAAAGCTATTGGTAATTACCCTAGTACCTATACCAAATACATGGTGTAGTGTCTCTAGTTGGAATCCTGCTGTTGTTGCTCCCAATGCGGGTGCATCACTCGATCCAACAGCTATTTGGGAGTCACTTGTGAGATACTTGGTGAATCAGTTCCAAAGAACTCACCACCACGGTCAGTCCTAAGCACCTTCACCAGTCTCATGGACTGCCGCTCACCAGCCATAGGCAACCAAAACTCTTTGATTGTTGCAGCGGCATCACCATTTTTTTACAAATGACTCGCCCATGTGAATCGACTCCATTCGTCCACCATGGTGAGGAAGTAGAATGCTCTCCCAGTCCCCTTAGTCTGCATAGGACCTACAAGGTCCATACCCACCACCTCCTTCGTTGATCCCTCTTGCTTCTCTGGAGACACGCGACGAGGACCGTCGATCAAAAATTACGTGATGCAGCAGGATAACCTACGGGCGAGATGGGAAAGGGATCGGCTAGACCCAGAGGAATTCTTCCGCGGGCTCGCCAACACCTTGACCGGGGAAGCGGAAACCTTCTACCGCATCAGCCGACGCGAACTCTTGGAATGGACGGCAGCGGGAATCGCACAAATTTGTTCTGCATGCATGCCTCCGCAGCTGCCAAAGGCAGCGCCATCACCATGTACTTGCAACTTGATGCGTCACTTACAGAAGGGCTGCTGGCATAGTTGTGGAGCAGCCCACAGAGGAGCATTTGGAGGTGGCAAAGTACATGGTGCGCTACATCGGATCTACCGTTTTATGCTGGTGTTCAGTTTTCAAGTGGAGGTCAGCTGTAGCAAGCTGGAGCAAACGGGATCACGCCTGGAACCTTGAAGCTGCCGTGCTTCACCGATGCTGCATAGACCTCGAAGGATGAGAATCGGACTTCTGTGGGTGACTATGTGTGCATGGTCGAAGAAGGACCAGTAAGTTGGAGGTCCAAGAAGCAGAATGAGATTGCTCAGTCTTCAGCAGAGGCAGAGTACATGACGATGTACCATGCTATTAAAGAGATTGTGCTCCTGAGAAAGCTGCTGGAGGACATGGGACCTACACCACTTTTCTCTGACAACGAGAGTATCATTGTCATGACCACTAATCTAGTCCAGAATGGGCTGAACAAGCACATGAAGGTTAAGTGGTACTGGGTGAGGCAGATGATGAAGGAGGGGATTGTTGAACTTCATCATATGAAGGCCAGCATGCAGGTGGCATATTTTCTCACCAAGAGACTTCTCGAGAGTGCACAGATGCACTAGTATGTCCAGCAATGTCATGGGAGCATGTGTGTTTGTGTGCGTGATGAATTTGTATGCGTGAGAGTGTGTGTGCATGCAGTCCATTAGTCTGAGGGGGAGTTTGTTGTATACACGTCAGTATGAGTGCATGTCATCCTAACGTCCTGCCGTGTGCTCGTGCAATTCATGCTTGCGTCATTTGCATGAGCATAAATCATTATGCATGGCTGTTGATATTTATCACCTCTGTGATTTTTTCTATGTCAAAATGCTTGATTACGCAGGAGTTCCAAAGCTTTTCAGCGATGCCAAGATCGCCTTATTCCGACCAAGGTCGTCCAAGTTACACGGTTTCTAGGATTTCTGGATTCTATCTTGATTTGGGATATTATCTAAATTGGGCAAGTATTGGATCATACAGATCTTTGGTTGAGAGGTTGGAAAAGCAACTTTGACTTTTGGGATTTGGTGGCTAGAAGTTTTCAGCATGGGTTGCAAATGACCCTCAACATCTTGGCAGGATCCAATTGCATGATGAGGGTTGCATTTTTTATGCTAAAAATATTCCTACAATCATTCCCTCATATTTGGAGAGTCTATCCCTCACAAGGTCCTTTTGAAAACCCCAATACTTATCATTCGAGTCTTATGTTTGTTCTTCCTCCATCCATTCTAGTGAAAGCAACAGCTATACGTTTTCAAGTCGTTCTCACTTCCTAGGCCACTTCGAGATGGTAGCTAAGACCAGCACGCGCAATCCTACCGAGCGGATTTGCGTTTAACCGAATGATTGTGTCGCAAGTCTTCAAAATGACCGGATCCTGTGTAACAACTTGTGAGTATTCTCAGAAGTGACTCCCAAATATTGTGTCTAGTTGGATTCCTGTTGCTGTTGCTGATGACCCAACTGCTTCACTCGATCTAGCAACGCTTGTGGCAACGGCTCCCCCCTGCGCCGTTCTGCCTCGATCTGAGCCGTGTGCAGCAGAGTCTTCCATTTGTCCTAGTGAGTGCAGGGGAGTTTGTAACCAGATGAGTTATGGTGACACAAGCATGAATCTACAAGTGTAAAATAACACGTCAAATGACTCCAAGAAAGTTATGGCATAGGTAGTATGCCAAACGAGTCGTATATACATATGACTTTTCACATAAGCTTGTGAAATGAGCTCCGAGGTGGGTCTTTTGAGGCACCTCAAAGGCGCTTCAGAACTTGTAACGAATAAGTTCCCGCTCACGTGCTTTAGCACCCAAGGTGGCACGAGAGAGGAAGAAGAAAAAAATAGTAGAGAAGGGTTCTTACTTGCAGGTTCTTTGCTGTCCGCGTGGAATCGGCAAACGCATTCTGCTTCACAGTATCCCAGCTGCAGTGGCACAGTGCCGGTGGGTTTGAATGGGGAGAAGAAATATAATTTAAATGCTGTGCCCAAGTTTCCAGCCTCTTCTTGCATTTGCCAGTCCCCCATCCCTACCCACTACCCCGCCCTGCCCTCCCACCCTCCCCACCCTCCCTGCCCTCCCGCCCTTCCACCCACATGCCAAGGCCATTGTTCAACCTGGCCGTTCAATGCCGTTCAACCAGTGTAAGCAGCTGCTGATTCTTTAGTCGACGAAATAATCACCTCTTTCCACCACCATAACCCTCACCAGTACAATCAACCCACCTGTCTGTGCCGAGTACCTCCACAGCAGACACCAGCAATTCCACCTCATCCACTGTAAACGGCTGACGCTTCCTCCTCTTGTGCTTCCTCAGCTCGTAATCCTCCTCGTCACACCACCCTCTTCTCTTCCGCGCCCCATTCTCTAGTTCTTGCTCTGCTAGCTCTTGCAGTGCCATCTCAGCTTTTGTTGCTGCGATTCGTTTAGGATGGGTGATGGTGGTGGCGGCACGGGGAGAAGATGTGGGGTTATGGGCCACATTAGTAGCTGAAAAAGGGTGTGAGGAGGAGGGGTAAGATGAGTGGGATGGAATGGCAAGGATGGGTGGTGTTTGGAGCTGCTGCGGCTGTTGCAGCTGCTGCTCCTGCTGCTGCTCCTGCTCCTGCTGCTTCTCCTGCTCCTGCTGCTGCTCCAGCTGCTCCTGCTCCTGCTGTTGCAGCTGCGGCTGCTCGTGGAGAGCTGCATGGGAACAGCCCACGTCGGCTAAGAGAGCCTGGTCTTCCATGCGCTGTTTACCCTGTAACACCACCCAGAAGAGGAGCGGGAGGGCAGGGGGTAAGGGAGGAAGGAGATACGAATGGATGGCGTGGCTTTCTTGGCAACGATGCTGAGGTGATCCAACGGGGATGCTGCACTGAGTGCTGCGTGGGAAAGGCTCGCATTGCATCCACTGATTGCTGCTGCTGCGCTGCTTGCTGCTGTGCTGCCCCACCAGCCATGCACGCACCCCGATGAACTCAACCGTCCCCAAATTACCTCCCATCCCCAAATTACCTCCCATTTCCAAATTACCTCCCATACCCTTCCCGTATGCACCTTCGACTTATAGGACAATCGAAAGTGCTCCATCACCCTGTGCTGCCCCACCAGCCGCTGCAGCCTGCCGTCTTTGTTCTCCACCTCCTGCTGCGTGCCCGCCAGGTGTTGCTGTAAGGAGGAGGAGGAGACAAGGAAAGGGGGGAATAAGAACAGATGAGAATTTTGAGAGTTGGGTGTTACGCTGACGGTGTACTTACAGAGGCTTAAACTCCACTACCTAATCAGCCGATTCTAGGTCCCCCCCAAAAAAGAAAGTCTCGCCTTGAGCTGCGCACTCTCATGGTTAGTGTTTTGAGTCAAGTTGGCTCAAAATACGACTCATTTCTCACCCGGAGCTGGGCATTCTCTCGGACGAGTGCCGGCTCGTGTTTATTGAGAAGTCTCAAAAAACAGATTCAGCATGCAATTCCCCTTCTTGGATTTTGAGAATTCTACAAAATACTGACTCTAGCTCAATTGAAGAAGTCTCACCTAGAGCTGCTTAATCTCATAATCTCCAACGGGTCGTGTTTTGAGTTGAGTCGACTCACAACACGACTGATGAGAATTCGTAGCTCATTTCTCACCTGGAGCTGCATAATCATGTGCACGCGCCAGCTCCTCCTGCTCTCTCAGGTCGACCATGCTTGTCTGCACTGCCAGGTCCACCTGCAATTGCTCCATCTCCTCCAAAGACCTGTGGAGATGGTGAGAGGACGAGAAGACAGGGAAGAAAAGGACGCTAAATAGTACCTCTTCGTTCCTTTTTCTTCTTCTTCTTCTTGTTTTTTCCAAAAGGGTTACAAACGTATCAGCAGCGTGTATGAGGGCGTTCACACCATCTTCTGCAGAGGCCTGCACACATTACATAACCGTGCTGCGACACTGTGGCAATCAGGCAATTGCCAATGGCGCTTTTATTCAATCAATCTGAAAACATACGAGGGATTTTTTAGTTCTCAAATGAGAGCATTTAGAGCAAGACAAGAGGGGAAATGGTGAATTGAGGGGTATACAGGAAGGTGGAGGAGCGAGGCAGAGTGGAAAGCGATGGCTCACTTCCCTACCTCATAAACAAGAGGTTTAGAGGAGTGACAGTGGAGAGGAGAGCGGATGAAATAAGGAGTGGTGGGGAAGGCGGGAGGTGTGGGTAGAAAGTGTGATGCAGCAAGTAAATAAGGAAAGAAGAAACAGCACTCCAGTATTGTGATTATAAAGGGGGAGGAGGGGGGGGCAGATGGGTCGGGCCGGTCCCAACTCGGATCAGGCCAGAAGGAGCCTGCCTGTATATGCTGGGCGATGGGGTGACAATCCAATACAGTCCTAACCCATGCTCATCGCTGGTACATAGCAGAGTAGTTTTTTGAGTCGACTCAGAATAAGCCTGCCTGTATATGCCAAGCAATGGGGTGACAATCCAATACAGTCCTAACCCATGCTCATCGCTGGTACATAGCAGAGTAGTTTTTTTAGTCGACTCAGAATAAGCCTGCCTGTATATGCCAAGCAATGGGGTGACAATCCAATACAGTCCTAACCCATGCTCATCGCTGGTACATAGCAGAGTAGTTTTTTTAGTCGACTCAGAATAAGCCTGCCTGTATATGCCAAGCAATGGGGTGACAATCCAATATAGTCCTAACCCATGCTCATCGCTGGTACATAGCAGAGTAGTTTTTTTAGTCGACTCAGAATAAGCCTGCCTGTATATGCCAAGCAATGGGGTGACAATCCAATACAGTCCTAACCCATGCTCATCGCTGGTACATAGCAGAGTAGTTTTTTTAGTCGACTCAGAATAAGCCTGCCTGTATATGCCAAGCAATGGGGTGACAATCCAATACAGTCCTAACCCATGCTCATCGCTGGTACATAGCAGAGTAGTTTTTTTAGTCGACTCAGAATAAGCCTGCCTGTATATGCCAAGCAATGGGGTGACAATCCAATACAGTCCTAACCCATGCTCATCGCTGGTACATAGCAGAGTAGTTTTTTGAGTCGACTCGGAATAAGCCTGCCTGTATATGCCAAGCAATGGGGTGACAATTCAATACAGTCCTAACCCATGCTCATCGCTGGTACATAGCAGAGTAGTTTTTTGAGTCGACTCGGAATAAGCCTGCCTGTATATGCCAAGCAATGGGGTGACAATCCAATACAGTCCTAACGCATGCTCATCGCTGGTACATAGCAGAGTAGTTTTTTGAGTCGACTCAGAATAAGCCTGCCTGTATATGCCAAGCAATGGGGTGACAATCCAATACAGTCCTAACCCATGCTCATCGCTAGTGCATAGCAGAGCAAGAAGAGAGAGGAGTGGATGCAATGAGTGGGGAGGAAGGCAGAGGGCGGAGCAAAAAGATAGAGAGGGAACGAGGGGTTGGTGGCTTACATGTCATTCTCGTGAGTGCGCTGACGAGTCTTGCGTTGCCTCTTATGCTTCTGATGGTAGCAGGAGGAGAGAGCATGGGAAAAGGCATGGGGGAGAGCACGGAAGAGAGCAAGGGAGAGAGCAGGGGAGAGAACATGGGCGAAAGCAAGGGAGAGAGGAAGGGAGAGAGCAAGGGAGAGAGCATGGGAGAGACTTTTAGACTCGCAAAGAACCCAGCTTTCGGGCCACAGTAAACCCACGTTCTTCACCTGCTGCTGGTTCCACATCCGCGCCTCCTCTTCAGTCAGCTCTAGCACTATCACTCCTGGTGATGCTGCTGCTGGCCCTGGAGTCGCCTCCAAGGTCAGGTCTACCACTGGCACTCCTGCTGATGCTCCTGCAGGCGTGCCTCCCACATCCCAACCACCTCCAGTAGCAGCAGCAGCAGCACGTGCAGGGGTGCTCACAACAACTGCCTCCTCCTCAGGCAACTCCAGCAGGATCGCTCCTCCTGCTGATGCTCCTGCTGATGCTCCTGCTGATGCTCCTGCTGATGCTCCTGCTGATGCTCCTGCTGACGTGCCTGTCACATCCCAACCACCTCCAGTAGCAGCAGCAGGCGCAGCAGCAGCAGCAGCAGCAGCAGGCGCAGCAGCAGCAGCAGCAGCAGCAGGCGCAGCAGCAACACGTGCAGGGGTGCTCACAACTGCCTCCTCAGGCAGTTCCAGCAGTATCGCTACTCCTGCTGATGCTCCTGCAGACGTGCCTGCCCAACCACAAACAGCAGTGGCAGCAGGCGCACCAGCATAAGCACGTGCAGGGGTGCCCACCACCACCTCCTCTCCACGATCCCCCACCACCTCCTCTCCACGATCCCCCACCACCTCCTCTCCACGATCCCCCACCACCTCCTCTCCACGATCCCCCACCACCTCCTCTCCACGATCCCCCACCACCTCCTCTCCACGATCCCCCACCACCTCCTCTCCACGATCCCCCAACACCTCCTCTCCACGATCCCCCACCACCTCCTCTCCACGATCCCCCACCACCTCCTCTCCACGATCCCCCACCACCTCCTCTCCACGATCCCCCACCTCCTCCTCTCCACGATCCCCCACCACCTCCTCTCCACGATCCCCCACCACCTCCTCTCCACGATCCCCCACCACCTCCTCTCCACGATCCCCCACCACCTCCTCTCCACGATCCCCCACCACCTCCTCTCCACGATCCCCCACCACCTCCTCTCCACGATCCCCCACCTCCTCCTCTCCACGATCCCCCACCACCTCCTCTCCACGATCCCCCACCTCCTCTCCACACCCCACCTCCGCCTCTGCTTCATACCACACCTCCACCTCCTCTCCACACCCCCACACCACCTCCTCTCCACACCCCCACACCACCTCGTTTCCGCACCCCGTCCTCACGTCCTCTCCACGCTCCCCCCCTTCCTCCTCTCTACGCCCCCTCACCTCCTCCTCTCCACGCTCCCCCACCTCCTCTTCTCCACGCTCTCCCACCTCCTCTTCTCCACGCTCCCCCACCTCCTCTTCTCCAGACTCCGCCACCACTCTGCCAGGCTCAACACCGTCACCCACCCCTTCCAGCACAGCCTGCAGAATCATCACCTCAGCGTCAGCCTCACTCCTCTCCATCCACCCATCCATCTTCGCTTCCTTTGCTTCCACCGCCTCTGCCCTGCTCAATGTTTCCATGGCTCTCTGCACGTCCTCCTGCAGGCTTGACAACCTCTCTCTCTCTTGCTCCTGCTGCATCTTCAGGGTTGCAACCCTCGCTCTCACTCCCTCCTCTGCATTCCGCAGGCCTGCCAGCCTCTCTCTTGCTCTCTCCTCCTCCTCCTCCAGCCCTGTCAGCTGCTTACTCGCTCTCTATTTCTTCTCCTGCAGGCTAGACAACCTCTCTCTTGCTTGCTCCTGCACCTTCTGCAGGGTTGCAACGCTCGCTCTCACTCCCTCCTCTGCATTCCGCAGGCCTGCCAGCCTCTCTCTTGCTCTCTCCTCCTCCTCCTCCAGCCCTGTCAGCTGCTTACTCGCTCTCTCTTTCTTCTCCTGCAGGCTAGACAACCTCTCTCTTGCTTGCTCCTGCACCTTCTGCAGGGTTGCTACACTCGCTCTCACTCCCTCCTCTGCATTCCGCAGGCCTGCCAGGCTCTCTCTTGCTCTCTCCTCCTCCCCCTCCACCCCTGCCAGCCTCTCACTCGTTCTCTCCACCTTCTCTTGAAGCCCTGCCAGCCTCCCTCTTGCTCTTTCCTCCTCCTCCTCCAGCCCTGCCAGCTGCATACTCGCTCTCTCCCTCTTCTCCTGTAGGCTTGCCAGGTCGTCATGCAACCCTGCCAGCGTCTCTCTCACTCTCTCCTCCTCCTCATACTGCCCCCTCAGCATCTCTCTCATTCTCTCCACCTCCTCATGCAGCCCCGCCAGTGTCTCTCTCATTCTCTCCTTTTCCTGTCTCACCAGATTCTCCCTCGCTCTCTACCCTACCACTGCCGCCTCTTCCTCTGCCTCCTGCAGCTTCCGCGCTGCTTCCTCTTGTGCCTTTCTCTCCCCCACTCGCTCCCTTTCCTCCAGTTCCTCTACCCTCCTCAGCGCCTCATCCCTCTCTTCCGTCAACCTCCTCACATCCTCTCCCTCCCTCACTCTCTCCCCTCGTGCTGCCACGTCACTCCCCTCATCCACCACGTCAGCCTCCACATCTGCCACCGCAAGTCCTCCTGCTTCCCCCGCTGCAGCCTTGCACCTCATGGAAAGCGGAGACTCAATCCCCTTGGCGCAAAGGAACGCCATTGCAAGATTCCTTGCAGGAATCCTGCCCTCCTGGTGGTGGGGCAAGGAGGGGAGGGAAGGGGTAAGAGATGGTTGATTCTTGCAACGATGTTTTGAGTCAACTGAAAACACGTGCCCCTCGTGGGAAGGGGAGACTCAAGCCCCTTCGCGCAAAGGAACACCGCCTCAAGATTCCTATTGACCCTGCCCCGCTGGTGGTAGGGCAAGGAGGGGAGGGAAGGGAAGGGTGCAGGAGCTTGGTTGATTCTTTGAGAATTCTTAGTGAGAATTCTAAAAAAAAATACGTGAGATGTGACGATTTTCCAGGAGAGGAGGCACGGCAGGGAGGGCAGGGAGGGGAGGGAGGGCAGGGAGGGCAGGGAGGGCAGGGAGGGCAGGGAGGGCAGGGAGGGGAGGGAGGGCAGGGAGGGCAGGGAGGGCAGGGAGGGCAGGGAGGGCAGGGAGGGGAGGGAGGGCAGGGAGGGCAGGGAGGGCAGGGAGGGCAGGGAGGGCAGGGAGGGGAGGGAGGGCAGGGAGGGCAGGGAGGGTAGGGAGGGCAGGGAGGGCAGGGAGGGGAGGGAGGGCAGGGAGGGCAGGGAGGGCAGGGAGGGCAGGGAGGGCAGGGAGGGGAGGGAGGGCAGGGAGGGCAGGGAGGGCAGGGAGGGCAGGGAGGGCAGGGAGGGGAGGGAGGGCAGGGAGGGCAGGGAGGGCAGGGAGGGCAGGGAGGGCAGGGAGGGCAGGGAGGGCAGGGAGGGCAGGGAGGGCAGGGAGGGCAGGGAGGGCAGGGAGGGCAGGGAGGGGAGGGAGGGCAGGGAGGGCAGGGAGGGCAGGGAGGGCAGGGAGGGCAGGGAGGGCAGGGAGGGCAGGGAGGGCAGGGAGGGCAGGGAGGGCAGGGAGGGCAGGGAGGGCAGGGAGGGGAGGCCCCGATGGGGCCAGGTGGGTGGCGTGTAGGACCTTGCCTCACCTTCTACCTTGCCTGCATGCTGATTAACACAAGGACGATTCAAGGGGACGGAGGGGAGGGAAGGGAGGGAGGGGAGGAAGGGCATGGAGGGGAGGAAAGGGCGCGGGAGGAGGGTTGAAATTTTCCTGCCTGCTGCTTGTTTCTCCACCTGGTGTATGCGTTGCTACAGGGCAGAATCAGCAGGAATGTATGCAAGAGATGCGTGAGGGATGGCATGAACGGTGGCATGCGAGCCAAATATGCAGCAGTGGGCTCTCTCTCTCCTGATTCTCCACACTCACAACACCACTCTTCTCAGCATCCAACCCACCCACCTGCTGCTCCTTCTCCCCCTCCACCTCTTCCTCCTCCCTCTCCCTCTCCCCCTCCCGCTCCACATCACTCTTCACAGCATCCAGTTCACTTCCCTCCTGCTGCTCCCCCTTCCCCTCCGCCACTGTCGACAGCCTTCCCACCTCCACCTCTCCCTCACCCAACCCCTCCACCGCGTCCGTCCCAGTAGAACAACCAGCAGGAGTGGCAGTGGTGGTGGGATAGCGGGCTGAGGCGGTGGCGGGGGTGGTGGCTTGGGAGTGAGTTAGGGAGCGGGCAGTCGAGGTGGAGGAGGAGGGAGGGAGGCGCTCATGGGCTCCACAGGTGCAGTGCTCGTGCATGAGCTCACACATGTGGCGATAATCGTCCTGTGTGGATGGAAAGAGGTCGGGAGAAAGAAGGGAGGGGAGGGAAAATGGGAGAGAAGGGAGGAAGTAACGACAGGGAGAGGGAGTTAGGAGGGAGGAATAAGAAGGAAGCATGATTGGACGGAGGAGGAGAGGAGAAGTCAGGCTTTGCAGATGCATAGCTCTCACGCATGCGTTGAAGCTCGCATGAGTGGTTGGCGGAAGAGGGGGCGTGGAGGGAAGCATTTACTATTTAACAGGCTGAGGTCTCGTTCGTTAACGGAATTAACCAGACAAGTCACTCCACCAACTAAGAACGGCCATGCACCACCACCCATAGAATCAAGAAAGAGCTCTCAATCTGTCAATCCTTACTATGTCTGGACCTGGTAAGTTTCCCCGTGTTGAGGCGCCTCATAAATGGGCTTTGCTCTGCAGATGCATAGCTCACGCATGTGATGAAGCTCGTGCGTGTGGTTGGCAGAAAGGTGGGGCGCGGAGGGAAGCATTTATTGTTGAGGCGCCTCATCGATGGGCTTTGCAGGCAGGATTAGCTCGTCTATGTGATTGGAGGGAGAGGAGAGGTTGGGCGCGGGAGAACGAGGGAGAGTGAGAGAGAGTGAGGGAGAGCGAGGGAGGGCGAGGGAGGATGAGTGAGGGCAAGGGAGGGCGAGGGAGAATGAGTGAGGGCAAGGGAGGGCGAGGGAGGATGAGTGAGGGCAAGGGAGGGCGAGGGAGGATGAGTGAGGGCAAGGGAGGGCGAGGCAAGGGAGGGTGTCGGAGAAACAGCTCTGCTAGTCATCTGCCTGCATTCTGATTCTCTTCTTCTTCTCAGTTCCTTCTGCTGCCTCAGCCACTCTCTTGAAAGAGTCAGAACTCCCACCTCAAGGGTCCTCTCTGAGTGGTGTGCCACCTAGCTGTGAGTTAAGGTAACAACTCTCCACTATGCGAAAGGATAACAAACGGAAAGCATCAGGGATGTGTGAGAGAGTAACTTTACCTGGCCTGGGCTCGAACCGTGCATTTCTCAATGTGCGGCTCGAGCCTGGGTTGGTTCAATCACATTGGTCGCGTGGATTTCTCCCTTGGTGCTCTCCTACCAACCTCGCGTCAATTTCCCTGGTTCCCCAACTACCTACCCTCGAATATTCATACTCAACATTGCTACACCAGAACTACACCAGAACTACACCTCAACATAACTGGCACCTTATATGCACAACCGTGCATATTCGGTGACAAGGGCGAGGGAGGATTAGTGAGGGCAAGGGAGGGCGAGGGAGGATGAGTGAGGGCAAGGGAGGGCGAGGGAGGATGAGTGAGGGCAAGGGAGGGCGAGGGAGGATGAGTGAGGGCAAGGGAGGGCGAGGGAGGATGACTGAGGGCAAGGGAGGGCGAGGGAGGATGAGTGAGGTCAAGGGAGGGCGAGGGAGGATGAGTGAGGGCAAGGGAGGGCGAGGGAGGATGAGTGAGGGCAAGGGAGGGCGAGGGAGGATGAGTGAGGGCAAGGGAGGGCGAGGGAGGATGAGTGAGGGCAAGGGAGGGCGTGGGAGGATGAGTGAGGGCAAGGGAGGGCGAGGGAGGATGAGTGAGGGCAAGGGAGGGCGAGGGAGGATGAGTGAGGGCAAGGGAGGGCGAGGGAGGATGAGTGAGGGCAAGGGAGGGCGAGGGAGGATGGGTGAGGGCAAGGGAGGGCGAGGGAGGATGAGTGAGGGCAAGGGAGGGCGAGGGAGGATGAGTGAGGGCAAGGGAGGGTGTCGGAGAAACAGCTCTGCTAGTCATCTGCCTGCATTCTGATTCTCTTCTTCTTCTCAGTTCCTTCTGCTGCCTCAGCCACTCTCTTGAAAGAGTCAGAACTCCCACCTCAAGGGTCCTCTCTGAGTGGTGTGCCACCTAGCTGTGAGTTAAGGTAACAACTCTCCACTATGCGAAAGGATAACAAACGGAAAGCATCAGGGATGTGTGAGAGAGTGACTTTACCTGGCCTGGGCTCGAACCGTGCATTTCTCAATGTGCGGCTCGAGCCTGGGTTGGTTCAATCACATTGGTCGCGTGGATTTCCCCCTTGGTGCTCTCCTACCAACCTCGCGTCAATTTCCCTGGTTCCCCAACTACCTACCCTCGAATATTCATACTCAACATTGCTATACCAGAACTACACCAGAACTACACCTCAACATAACTGGCACCTTATATGCACAACCGTGCATATTCGGTGACAGCTGTCGGAGAAACAGCTCTGCTAGTCATCTGCCTGCATTCTGATTCTCTTCTTCGTCTCAGTTCCTTCTGCTGCCTTAGCCACTCTCTGCCCTCTCCTGTGCCCGTGCTTGAGCAGCTTGAGCGCGGGTCACAGGACCAGTACGCTGAGGCCCGGTCCCTCAGATCACGGCTGTGTTCGTCTGATGTTCCCTCAAGAGCGCCCCTTTGTCGTTTTCCAAGACCAGCACCCCAGAAGGGCGCACCTCCTTGACTTTCCAGCGCACTGTCCCCAATCCCACGTCCAGAGTGTCCTGCTTCGCTCTCTTCAAATAAACTTCCTGCCCTTCCCAGACGCCCCTAGCCGTTCTCCCCTCGCCCTTGCGTTGCCTCTGTTCGTATCTCCTGGCATCTCGTAGCTGTGTGGTGTGCAGGTTCTCCAGCGCGGCTGGCATCATGTAGCGCATGTAGCGCGCTCTCACCTCGGACAGGGCTACCCAGTTCTTGATCGTGCCCGCTGTCACTGTGTCTGTCAATACCCGCGGTGCCCCCACTGGCAGAATTGGCTCTCGTCCATAGAGTAGGCTATACGGGGAATGATCCTTCAGCGCTGCCTGTTTCCCAAACCTGTACCCCGCTGCTATCCAGTCCAACTCATCATCCCAATCCCTCTTCCTCTGCTCCCCGTAGGCCCGCAGCCCTCGCTTGAAGGTCTGCACGGCTCGCTCGGTCAGCCCGTCGCTCTGCGGGTGGTAGCGGGAGGTCTTTCGGTGCGTGATGCCAGACTCCTCCAGCAACTTCTTGAATTCCCCTTGGAACTCCGTTCCCTGGTCTGTGAGCACCTCACCGCACGCTCCAAACCGACACACCACCTGTGCCTTGAAGGCTGCTGCAATATGCCTCGCGCTCTTGCTAGGGATGGCTCTCACCTCCAGCCACTTGCTCACATGTTCCACCATGAACACTATATACTGATTCCCGCTCCTGCTTAGCGGCAGCTCTCCCGCGAGGTCTAGGGACCATCGGAACCCCAGCCCGCAGATTGGCAGTGAGTGCAGCTCTGCTTTGGCCTGCGTCAGGTTTTCTTTGCTCCTCTGACATGCCTCGCACCCCTCCACCCACTCCTTCACTTGCCTGCGCATCCCTTCCCACCACCAGCTCGTCTTCAGCAGGTGTACGGTCCTCTCGTGCCCAAAGTGTCCCAGCTTAGTGTGCACTTCCTTGATCACTGCTTCACGGTCCTTGGGCGCTGGCACCAGCTTCCAGCCATCCTCCGTCTTGATCTGCAGCTGCTGCTGATACCACCTGTAGTGGTGCCCTCGTGCCCTCACCCTTTCGGACACTGTCTCATCTTCTTCGGTTTCTCCCTTCACCCATTCCATTGCCTTTGCATCCTGCCAGATGTCAGCTGGCCCCTTACTCCCTTTTGCACCGACCTGCTCCACCTCTCTTGCCAGCAAGATCAAGATTTGCGCTGGCTCCTGCTCTGTCTCTTCCGTCCCCTGTGTTACCTGTTCCGTTTCCAGCGGCGGTGGGTTGCGGGAGAGACCATCGACGTGCTGCAGCGTCTTCCCTGGCCTGTGCCTGATCTTGAAATCATATTCCTGCAACTTCACTGCCCACCTCGCGTTCCTCCCTGTCAGCCCTGGTGTGGTCATCAGCCAAGTGAGGGGCTGATGGTCAGTGACCAGGGTGAACTCTCGGCCCTGCAGGTATATCCGGAAATGCCCAACCGCCCACACTGCCGCCAGCCCCTCCCCGATGTATGAGCTGTACTGTGCTTCCGCTGAGTTGCAGCTCCTGCTGGCATAGGCCACTACCTTCTCCACTCCCACCACCTCTTGGCACAGTATTGCCCCCATCCCCTGGCTGCTCCAGTCGGTGTAGAGGATGAAGGGCTGATCTGCTGCCGGCAACCGCAGCACTGTCGCCATCTTCACGGCTGTCATGAGGTCTTGCAGCGCCTCCCTATGCTTTTCTCCCCACTCCCATGCCTTGTCCTCTCGCAGCATCCCATTCAGCACCGTCGCTCTCTTGCTGAAGTTAGGCACAAAGCGTCTGTAGTAGCTGAGGAAGCCCAAGACCGCACGCAGCCCTGACTTGTCTCTTGGTCCCCTCAGCCTGTCCAGCACCTGCACCTGTGCTTGCTGGATCCCAATCTGCCCCCCTGTGACCTCATACCCCAGGTACTGCACTGTCCGCTCCCCCCATCTACATTTGTTGGGATGGCATGTGAGCCCTGCCCCTTCTATAGCACTCAATGTCCTCTCCACGTCCTCCAGGTGCTGCTGTTCGGTCACGCTGAAGATCACCACGTCATCGATGTAGCACGACGCATGTTCTATTCCCCGCAGCACCGCATCCATGACTCTCTGGAACACTGCCGAGGCGTTCCTTAGACCGAAGGGCATGTACAGCCACTCGTACAACCCATCTGGTCCGTGGAAGGCCGTTTTCTTCACATACTCCTCTCTGGTCCTGATTTGATTGAAACCCTGCCGCAGGTCCAGCGTCGTGAAGAACACCCCGTCGGCCAATTTGTCGAAGAGTTCTTCAGCCATCGGCATCGGGTATCTATCCAGCACTGTGATTTTGTTGAGATCCCTGTAATCCCCGCACATTCTCCTGCTCAGCACCTCGCCTGTCAAGTCCTTCCTGGCTGCCACCACGGTTGGGGTGGCGTATTCGGACTCTGACCTCCTCATCAGTCCGGCTTCCAGCAGCTCCTTTATCTTCTCCCTGCAGATCGCTTCATCCTCTGGTGACATCTTCCTCCTGTGGTGGAATACCGGCTCGTCACTGCTCAGCTTCAGTGCCATCTCTTTGATCTTGCATTTCTCCAACTCCTGCAGGGTGAAGGCGAAGCCCTTCCGATGCTTGGCCAGCACTGCTCGCATTGCTGCCTTCCCTTTCTCGCTCATGCTCTCCCCTATCTTCCATTCTGGCTCCTCTTTCTGCAGGCAGGCCCACACCCCTTGTCTGACTGTCGCTACTGTGTTTTCTCCCTCCTTCAGTCCTCAGTGTAGCACCGTCTCCTTCCACATCCGCTGCACCAGCCATCTCATCATGTACCCATCCATAGCATTCCCCAATGCCCGCCTCCTTTCCTTCTCACTCACGCCAGGGGCTGCTGTGGCATTCTCCTTGTACCCCATGGCCAGCTCTCTCTCCAAGGCCGTGGGCTCTTCCCACCGTCCTTTCTTGTGGTCCTTTATCAGTCCTGGGCCCGGCTGCTCTCCGTCCATCCGGTATCCTGCTGCCCCCTCATATGACACCAGGGTGGGTAGTGCTTGCCTCTCCTGCCCCACCTGGTTACATGGATAGTGTCTGCTGTAGCTCCTTTTGTTCACTGGTGCTGGCGTTCTCCCTGGCTCCAGTATGTCGCTCAATTTCCGCCCCCCTGCTCTCTGCACCCCCTCTATCTCCTTCTGCAGGTCTTCCACTGGTACCACGTTCTGCCAGTACATCCGGAGCCGGTGTGCGTATGCTCCCATCCGCGCCGCATCACTGCTCACCCCCTTGCCCACCTGCCTCGTTACTCTCTTCCTCACCAGTCTGACTGGTTCTCGTACATCTCTTTCCATGTCTAAGTGTTCCAGCAGGTAAGCCAGCCTGCCCTGCCTAGCCTGCACCCACTCCATGATCTTGAACAGTTCCTCCATCAGTTTGGTCCTGGGGTCTTGCTCGCCCTTACCCTTCCCTGCCCATGATACCCCCTGGCATTCCCACCCTGCCACCAGCAGATCCACGTGCCCCCAGCTTGCTACCTCAGCTTCCGTGATAGCCCTTATATCGTCCACTCCTCTGCCCATTGCTGTCTTAATCACCTCTCCCTTCAGCAGTTCCGGAAACTCTCTGTGTAACTCCCACGCATGATGCTCCGCTATTTTCCTCACTTCCGGTGCCAGCTCCACGTAAATCCATTGCTTGACTGCAATTCCATTCCGCACCACTGCTGCCAATCCCGCCCCTATTCCTCCGAACAGTTCCACCAGCCGGATGGGTTGCTGCCAATCGGTCTGTTGGCCAGGCTCGTCCATGAAACGCATCCTGGGCGCCCCGCCCTTTCCTTCGCCTGCCGCTCTGTCCTGTGCCCCCTGTCTTGTTGTCCCCTCTCGCTGATCCGCCCGGTAAGCCCTTTTTGGCTCTGTCTTGACAAACTGCACAGGCAGCTGCCCTAGTGGCTCACCCTTCCTCCACCACCTGGTCCGGAACTCCACTGTCTCTTTCCAAAAGCAAATGGTCATGCCCAATGCAAAAATCATCTCTGTGCCCACCAACACGTCAAAATCCTCAGATTCTGAAATCCCGCACCTGATTCTGACTGGAGGGCACTTTGGGGAGCGGGCTGCGCATGAAGGTGTACGAGATGGGGGCTGACACGACGCTAGATGAAGTGTTTGAGATGGCAGAGAAGATGGAGCTGGCACAGAGGAAATATGAAGCCTACCGGCCCCGACCAGCGGAGCGAGGCAGGGGAGAAACATGAAACGCCAGTCAGAATCAGGTGCGGGATTTCAGAATCTGAGGATTTTGACGTGTTGGTGGGCACAGAGATGATTTTTGCATTGGGCATGACCATTTGCTTTTGGAAAGAGACAGTGGAGTTCCGGACCAGATGGTGGAGGAAGGGTGAGCCACTAGGGCAGCTGCCTGTGCAGTTTGTCAAGACAGAGCCAAAAAGGGCTTACCGGGTGGATCAGAGAGAGGGGACAGCAAGAAAGGGGGCACAGGACAGAGCGGCAGGCGAAGGAAAGGGCGGGGCGCCCAGGATGCGTTTCATGGACGAGCCTGGCCAACAGACCGATTGGCAGCAACCCATCCGGCTGGTGGAACTGTTCGGAGGAATAGGGGCGGGACTGGCAGCAGTGGTGCGGAATGGAATTGCAGTCAAGCAATGGATTTATGTGGAGCACGCACCGAAGTGAGGAAAATAGCGGAGCATCATGCGTGGGAGTTACACAGAGAGTTTCCGGAACTGCTGAAGGGAGAGGTGATTAAGGCAGCAATGGGCAGAGGAATGGACGATACAAGGGCTATCACGGAAGCTGAGGTGGCAAGCTGGGGGCACGTGGATCTGCTGGTGGCAGGGTGGTAATGCCAAGGGGTATCATGGGCAGGGAAGGGTAAGGGCGAGCAAGACCCCAGGACCAAACTGATGGAGGAACTGTTCAAGATCATGGAGTGGGTGCAGGCTAGGCAGGGCAGGCTGGCTTACCTGCTGGAACACTTAGACATGGAAGGAGATGTACGAGAACGAGTCAGACTGGTGAGGGAGAGAGTAACGAGGCAGGTGGGCAAGGGGGTGAGCAGTGATGCGGCGCGGATGGGAGCATACGCACACCGGCTCGGGATGTACTGGCAGAACGTGGTACAAGTGGAAGACCTGCAGAAGGAGATAGAGGGGGTGCAGAGAGCAGGGGGGCGGAAATTGAGCGACATACTGGAGCCAGGGAGAACGCCAGCACCAGTGAACAAACGGAGCTACAGCAAACACTATCCATGTAACCAGGTGGGGCAGGAGAGGCAAGCACTACCCACCCTGGTGTCATATGAGGGGGCAGCAGGATACCGGATGGACGGAGAGCAGCCGGGCCCAGGACTGATAAAGGACCACAAGAAAGGAAGGTGGGAAGAGCCCGCGGCCTTGGAGAGAGAGCTGGCCATGGGGTACAAGGAGAATGCCACAGCAGCCCCTGGCGTGAGTGAGAAGGAAAGGAGGCGGGCATTGGGGAACGCTATGGATGGGTACATGATGAGATGGCTGATGCAGCGGATGTGGAAGGAGACGGTGCTACACTGGGGACTGAAGGAGGGAGAAAACACAGTAGCGACAGTCAGACAAGGGGTGTGGGCCTGCCTGCAGAAAGAGGAGCCAGAATGGAAGATAGGGGAGAGCATGAGCGAGAAAGGGAAGGCAGCAATGCGAGCAGTGCTGGCCAAGCATCGGAAGGGCTTCGCCTTCACCCTGCAGGAGTTGGAGAAATGCAAGATCAAAGAGATGGCACTGAAGCTGAGCAGTGACGAGCCGGTATTCCACCACAGGAGGAAGATGTCACCAGAGGATGAAGCGATCTGCAGGGAGAAGATAAAGGAGCTGCTGGAAGCCGGACTGATGAGGAGGTCAGAGTCCGAATACGCCACCCCAACCGTGGTGGCAGCCAGGAAGGACTTGACAGGCGAGGTGCTGAGCAGGAGAATGTGCGGGGATTACAGGGATCTCAACAAAATCACAGTGCTGGATAGATACCCGATGCCGATGGCTGAAGAACTCTTCGACAAGTTGGCCGACGGGGTGTTCTTCACGACGCTGGACCTGCGCCAGGGTTTCAATCAAATCAAGATCAGAGAGGAGTATGTGAAGAAAACGGCCTTCCACGGACCAGATGGGTTGTACGAGTGGCTGTACATGCCCTTCGGTCTAAGGAACGCCTCGGCAGTGTTCCAGAGAGTCATGGATGCGGTGCTGCGGGGAATAGAACATGCGGCGTGCTATATCGATGACGTGGTGATCTTCAGCGTGACCGAACAGCAGCACCTGGAGGACGTGGAGAGGACATTGAGTGCTATAGAGGGGGCAGGGCTCACATGCCATCCCAACAAATGTAGATGGGGGGAGCGGACAGTACAGTACCTTGGGTATGAGGTCACAAGGGGGCAGATTGGGATCCAGCAAGCAAAGGTGCATGTGCTGGACAGGCTGAGGGAACCGAGAGACAAGTCAGGGCTGCGTGCGGTCTTGGGCTTCCTCAGCTACTACAGACGCTTTGTGCCTAACTTCAGCAAGAGAGCGACGGTGCTGAATGGGATGCTGCGAGAGGACAAGGCATGGGAGTGGGGAGAAAAGCATAGGGAGGCGCTGCAAGACCTCATGACAGCCGTGAAGATGGCGACAGTGCTGCGGCTGACGGCAGCAGATCAGCCCTTCATCCTCTACACCGACTGGAGCAGCCAGGGGATGGGGGCAATACTGTGCCAAGAGGTGGAGGGAGTGGAGAAGGTGGTGGCCTACGCCAGCAGGAGCTGCAACCCAGCGGAAGCACAGTACAGCTCATACATCGGGGAGGGCTAGCGGCAGTGTAGGCGGTTGGGCATTTCTGGATATACCTGCAGGGCCGAGAGTTCACCCTGGTCACTGACCATCAGCCCCTCACTTGGCTGATGACCACACCAGGGCTGACAGGGAGGAACGCGAGGTGGGCAGTGAAGTTGCAGGAATATGATTTCAAGATCAGGCACAGGCCGGGGAAGACGCTGCAGCACGTCGATGGTCTCTCCCGCAACCCACCGCCGCTGGAAACGGAACAGGTAACACAGGGGACGGAGGAGACAGAGCAGGAGCCAGCGCAAATCTTGATCTTGCTGGCAAGAGAGGTGGAGCAGGTCGGTGCAAAAGGGAGTAAGGGGCCAGCTGACATCTGGCAGGATGCAAAGGCAATGGAATGGGTGAAGGGAGAAACCGAAGAAGATGAGACAGTGTCCGAAAGGGTGAGGGCACGAGGGCACCACTACAGGTGGTATCAGCAGCAGCTGCAGATCAAGACGGAGGATGGCTGGAAGCTGGTGCCAGCGCCCAAGGACCGTGAAGCAGTGATCAAGGAAGTGCACACTAAGCTGGGACACTTTGGGCACGAGAGGACCGTACACCTGCTGAAGACGAGCTGGTGGTGGGAAGGGATGCGCAGGCAAGTGAAGGAGTGGGTGGAGGGGTGCGAGGCATGTCAGAGGAGCAAAGAAAACCTGACGCAGGCCAAAGCAGAGCTGCACTCACTGCCAATCTGCGGGCTGGGGTTCCGATGGTCCCTAGACCTCGCGGGAGAGCTGCCGCTAAGCAGGAGCGGGAATCAGTATATAGTGTTCATGGTGGAACATGTGAGCAAGTGGCTGGAGGTGAGAGCCATCCCTAGCAAGAGCGCGAGGCATATTGCAGCAGCCTTCAAGGCACAGGTGGTGTGTCGGTTTGGAGCGTGCGGTGAGGTGCTCACAGACCAGGGAACGGAGTTCCAAGGGGAATTCAAGAAGTTGCTGGAGGAGTCTGGCATCACGCACCGAAAGACCTCCCGCTACCACCCGCAGAGCGACGGGCTGACCGAGCGAGCCGTGCAGACCTTCAAGCGAGGGCTGCGGGCCTACGCGGAGCAGAGGAAGAGGGATTGGGATGATGAGTTGGACTGGATAGCAGCGGGGTACAGGTTTGGGAAGCAAGCAGCGCTGAAGGATCATTCCCCGTATAGCCTACTCTATGGACGAGAGCCAATTCTGCCAGTGGGGGCACCGCGGGTATTGACAGACACAGTGACAGTGGGCACGATCAAGAACTGGGTAGCCCTGTCCGAGGTGAGAGCGCGCTACATGCGCTACATGATGCCAGCCGCGCTGGAGAACCTGCACACCGCACAGCTACGAGATGCTAGGAGATACAAACAGAGGCAACGCAAGGGCGAGGGGAGAACGGCTAGGGGCGTCTGGGACCGGGCCTCAGCGTACTGGTCCTGTGACCCGCGCTCGAGCTGCTCAAGCACGGGCACAGGAGGGGGCAGAGAGTGGCTGAGGCAGCAGAAGGAACTGAGAAGAAGAAGAGAATCAGAATGCAGGCAGATGACTAGCAGAGCTGTTTCTCCGACAGCTGTCACCGAATATGCACGGTTGTGCATATAAGGTGCCAGTTATGTGGAGGTGTAGTTCTGGTGTAGTTCTGGTGTAGCAATGTTGAGTATGAATATTCGAGGGTAGGTAGTTGGGGAACCAGGGAAATTGACGCGAGGTTGGTAGGAGAGCACCAAGGGGGAAATCCACGCGACCAATGTGATTGAACCAACCCAGGCTCGAGCCGCGCATTGAGAAATGCACGGTTCGAGCCCAGGAAAGGTAAAGTCACTGTCCCACACATCCCTGATGCTTTCCGTTTGTTATCCTTTCGCATAGTGGAGAGTTGTTACCTTAACTCACAGCTAGGTGGCACACCACTCAGAGAGGACCCTTGAGGTGGGAGTTCTGACTCTTTCATAATGAGAGTGGCTGAGGCAGCAGAAGGAACTGAGAAGAAGAAGAGAATCAGAATGCAGGCAGATGACTAGCAGAGCTGTTTCTCCGACACCTCCTGTCATACTGCAGCCGCGGATCTGGCGAGAGCACGCCGCCGTCGCGTCCCCCGTCACGATTGTGCCGCGGGTCTGGCGAGCACACGCCGCCGCCCCTTCCCCCATCACGATGTAGCCGCGGATCTGGCGAGCGCGCGCCGCCGCCGCGTCCCCCGTCACGATTCAGCCGCGGGTCTGGCGAGCGCGCGCCGCCACCGCGTCCTTCGTCACGTTGCTGACGCGGATCCGGAGAGCGCGAGCCACTGCTACGCTTCCCGCCATCACTCTTCTCTCCGCCGCGCGGCTGGTTCCGAGCACCGCTCTTTCCGTCCGCCTCCGCCGTGCTTGGCTCCGCCGCCACGCCCGCCTGCGCGGGGTCGTCGTTGTTGACTCCAGCGGGCATATCGCGCTGCTCGCCTGCGCCTTCCTCCTGGGATGCGTCATCGCCCTTGGTTTCGCCTTCGCGATTCGGCTCCTGCACATGATTCGCCGTGTCGGCCTCGTCTTCTCCATCCACATCAAGATCGCCTTGGCGACCCGAGAAGAGCTCCTCCAGACCACGCCCGCGACTTCGATCTTCGCGATGGCGATAGCCTTCCTCCGGCGAGCGGTATGCTCCCGTGTCCTGGCGATACCCATGACCGCCGGCGGCTCCGTGGCGCTCGTCCGTCCGCCACGGGTCACTCCCCATCATGGCGGATCCAGATCCGCCCCTTCCTTCTCGAGCGGATCCCCCCCTTTGGCGATCTGGCGCGAGAGGGACCTGATCCGCTCGAAAGGCCGGCCTCCGCGGCGATCGCTCAGGCCGCCGCGGCGACCTCTCCAGCGAACGCCCGCGCTCACGTGAGCGTTCGCGCCGCGCGCGATCCTCCTCACGGCGACCGTAGTTCCTGCCATAACGCAGCTCGTACACATCCAAGCTCGTACGCGCACCTTTCCATTTGTTATGAAAGAGTCAGAACTCCCACCTCAAGGGTCCTCTCTGAGTGGTGTGCCACCTAGCTGTGAGTGAAGGTAACAACTCTCCACTATGCGAAAGGATAACAAACGGAAAGCATCAGGGATGTGTGAGAGAGTGACTTTACCTGGCCTGGGCTCGAACCGTGCATTTCTCAATGTGCGGCTCGAGCCTGGGTTGGTTCAATCACATTGGTCGCGTGGATTTCCCCCTTGGTGCTCTCCTACCAACCTCGCGTCAATTTCCCTGGTTCCCCAACTACCTACCCTCGAATATTCATACTCAACATTGCTACACCAGAACTACACCAGAACTACACCTCAACATAACTGGCACCTTATATGCACAACCGTGCATATTCGGTGACAAGGGCGAGGGAGGATGAGTGAGGGCAAGGGAGGGCGAGGGAGGATGAGTGAGGGCAAGGGAGGGCGAGGGAGGATGAGTGAGGGCAAGGGAGGGCGAGGGAGGATGAGTGAGGGCAAGGGAGGGCGAGGGAGGATGAGTGAGGGCAAGGGAGGGCGAGGGAGGATGAGTGAGGGCAAGGGAGGGCGAGGGAGGATGAGTGAGGGCAAGGGAGGGCGAGGGAGGATGAGTGAGGGCAAGGGAGGGCGAGGGAGGATGAGTGAGGGCAAGGGAGGGCGAGGGAGGATGAGTGAGGGCAAGGGAGGGCGAGGGAGGATGAGTGAGGGCAAGGGAAGGCGAGGGAGGATGAGTGAGGGCAAGGGAGGGCGAGGGAGGATGAGTGAGGGCAAGGGAGGGCGAGGGAGGATGAGTGAGGGCAAGGGAGGGCGAGGGAGGATGAGTGAGGGCAAGGGAGGGCGAGGGAGGATGAGTGAGGGCAAGGGAGGGCGAGGGAGGATGAGTGAGGGCAAGGGAGGGCGAGGGAGGATGAGTGAGGGCAAGGGAGGGCGAGGGAGGATGAGTGAGAACGAGAGAGAGCGAGGGAGTACGAGGGCAGGGAGCATCGCACCTTGAGCCGGGCGTATTTCTTCTACACCAGGGCATCCTGCTGGCCCACCGTGCCCTCATTCACCACTGCCTTGTTCCGCACCGCCTTTGCCTTCTATGCGAACCTGAGCGTGTTGAGCGACTCATTCTGCGACCTGCGGCCGTGGGTGAGGGAGAAATACTGGCTGAGGCGCCTAAGGAATTGTCAGAACGAACTTCCTGTTGCCCCTCTGCTGCCTCATTCGCCAATGCCTTGTCAAGCATATTCCTTTTCTGCCCAAACTTGAGGGTGCTTTGCGGGAGAGTTTCGGCTTGTGCCCTGACCCTGCTGCATATTCTTTGAGGACTCATGCAGTCTAGTTTTGAGGCGCCTCAAAACTAGACCCCTGCAGCCGGACATATGCAGCTTTCAGAAATCTCAGCACACTTGCCAATGGGAATGAGCTGATGCAGCTTTGAGACGTCTCAGCACTTAACACGTGAATGGGCTGACGCAATTCTGCAAAATATCAACACTTACTGCGCAGCCGGGATGATGCATTCTTGACAAGTTTCAAAACTTACCCTGCAGCCGGGCTGATGCATGCAATCACGGTTGATTTTGAGTTCCCGCCCAGGGAGACCTGCGTAGAAGCACACGAGGTGAATTGGTGGTGAATGGAAGCACATGAGGTGAATCGGTGGTGAATGGAAGCACAAGAGGTGAATCGGTGGTGAGTGGAAGCACACGAGGTGAATCGGTGGTGAATGGAAGCACATGAGGTGAATCGGTTTTTACCCGGAGGAGTCTGGTGAGGAGGGAGTTGCGGTAGAACGCTTTTTGCCCCTTACTCAGCGAGTTGATGTCGTTTCTGGCCATGCATGACATGATATAACATGACATCGTGTGACATGACATGGCACGACATGACATCAGGCAACACACACAAACGAAAGTAAATGATCCCACTTGGCTCATACTCCCTTTTTTCCTTTCCCCTCATTCTCTTGGGTTCACCCATTCCTCATTCTCAAACAGAAGAAGGGCACAAGGACACAAGGGCAGACAGAAGAAGAGTTGCGACGAAACAGCATGCTAAATCTATCCACTCAGTTCCAATCCAACAACACGAGCAAGCAAAGCACATATTCCTAAGCACATAAGCACATAGCACATTACAGGGAGCTGCGCAAGCCTGAGCCCGAGCCTAGGCAGTACGTTCACAGGATTTTCTCTCAACCATCGTGAGCAGCACACTCGGCCAACGGAGGGAGACAAAGGAGGGACTCAACAAACCCAAGGTGTGAGAGACAAGGAAAGGACGGAACAAACCCGAGATATAAGAGGGATGTGTTGATGTGGCATGCTTCCTGTTACTGCTCTCCCTCAGCCCCTGATTTATTCACACTGCCAGGGGTGGAGAGCGGTGGAGAAGGTGTAATGTGCAGGGGAGTGGAGCTGGTGGGGAGGAAAGCAGGGACTACGAGCATGGGATAGGATTCCAGATTATTCGTGGCCTCTCATGTCTCGTGATTGGAAGGGGCGGAGAAGGATTGAGACGGGTTGAGAGGGGTGGAGTTAGGATGGTATGGGGTTGGTGGTGGGCAGGACAGGCCCAGGGAAGGACAGGTGTTGTGCTGTGTGTGCTACCATACTCCATGATCATGCGAAAGGCAAACAGCACAAGTGAAAGGAGGCATGAAGGCAAGAGGAAGCATGGTGGGCAGGAAGGAATAGCAAATGGAGGCACCTTGCTATGGGGACAACAAGACTTACCACGTTATGAGACAAACAGTTATTTCATAACTTGCCAAAAGACGTGGCACGACACAGTCGCATGTGTTGAGGGCAGGAGAGTAGTTTGTAATGTGTTGTGTCGAGGCTCAAAAGTCAAAATATGGAAATAGAATTATTTACGGGAAAGAGATATGGCGATAGTAGCGTGTTCAGGGAATTCATTGCTTACTTTTCAGAGCCTGCAAGGTCGACGAGGTTCAGCTGGACGGATCGGTTCTTGCTTTCGCCCGCAACGGTCCACTGCAGTGGTGGGGGTACACACACACACACACACACACACACACACACACACACACACACACACACACATTTGCGCATTCGCACATTTGGACATTCGCATTCACACATTCACACATTTGCACATGGCACACATATGCAAGCACGCTAACGCTGCTGTAAGCCCTGTCAGCAGCACCTCTCACCGTGCTCTTAATCGTGCACATGAATACACTGTGGGAGCGGCTGCTCGTGTTGTTCATTCTCGTCTCCCCCGTTTGATGGTTCTTCAATCCCTGCACACACACGCAGCAATGCAAACAAACACACTGTCAATACTCTGTGTGCGTGCAGGGAGGGAGCCCCCACGCAACAATACAAACACCCCTGGTATTGCTCAACAACGCAGCAATGCGCAGAAAAACAGGCTGCCAACTCAACTCAACTCACCTGCTGGATAAGCAGCATGACTTGAGAGGAGCCGGTGACCTCCTTTCTGGAGAGGTTGTTCACACGCACTTGCGTGACCTCCTTCGTGACCTCCTTTTTGTCCTCCTTCATGACGGCCTTTTCTTCTTCAATCCATGAAATCTGAGGAAGAGGAAGCGAGAGGAAATCAGGAAAACCAGGTCAAAGAATAGGCGTGAAGTATAATCATGCGGTGAGAGAGGTGTGAAGTGAAACGGAACTCATGAGGACTGGATTAGGCCAACCAGCGATTCAGGCTGCTTGACAGGACTTGCAAACACTCTCCTGGGGCCCTCATACACACGAGCACAGACCATCTGCTGCACTCGAGTGGCCATGGCCAGCACGAGCACACTTCATTCACAGCACTCACATGCATACTGCAGCTGCGGCACTCACACTTAAGTTGGTACTGGTGGGATCGAGCAGGTCCCTGAGGGTCTCGTTGTAGATTTCCAGGAAGGAGCACGTGCACTTGAACGCCAGCCCCTCGCTTGCCCTCTGCTGCCTCTCCTGCCAGGGAAGGGCGGGAAGGAGGGGCGGACAAAAATAAAAGAGCTGCCCACCTTCTGGTGTGTTCGAGCAGGTCCCTGAGGTTCTCCTGAGGTCCCAGGAAGGAGCACGTGCACTTGAACGCCAACCCCTCACTCGCCCTCTGCTCCCTCTCCTTGCAGGGGGGAGGGGGAAGGAGAGGCGACAGGCATTAACTCATGGCCCGATTTGGAAGTTCAGCCCTCTGTACTGTATGGATGCAAGCACCAGGCAGCACAAAGAGAGCAGCAGAATGCAAGCAGCAGCATGCAGGCACCACACTGCAGGCAGCAGGATGAGGGCAGGCAGCATATGACAAGAGACTGTTTGTGAGGCGGCAGCAGGAGTCATACCTGTTCCATGAGAGCAAAGAGCAGGCGAAACACACGCGGATTCATCCCCCATCTCAACCCAACCTCCACTTCATCCTCTCCCCCGCCGGCTCCAAACATCGTATAAGTCTTTCCGCTGCCAGTCTGGAATGCCATGAGGTAGAGAGGGTGCGGGAACCAAAGCGAGGGGAGAGTGTAAAGGGTTGAACCAGGGTTATGCTGCAGGAAAAGGGTACAAATGAAATGAGAATGTTAAGGCTCTGTCGTGTCGACGGCAAGTCTGGTGACAAGCAAGCATGCAGGCAACTGATCAAGAACAAACCTGCTCGTAAATCACAAACCTGGCCACGTACGTTGAACCTGGCCATATGCGTTGAACCTGGCCATATACGTTGAACCTGGCCATATACGTTGAACCTGGCCATATACGTTGAACCTGGCCATATACGTTGAACCTGGCCATATACGTTGAACCTGGCCATATATATTTACAAACGAACCTGGCCGTAGGCAAACACGGTGCTGTTGTATCCGTCAATGCAATTCTTGACTATGGGCCGCCCTGCCAGCTCGAATAGCTCCTCCTGGCCAAGGAGGGGGAGGGGGGGGAGGAAGTGGGGGGCGGGGGAGAAAGGAGCAGCGAGCAGTTGATTGTTAGGAGGGAGTCTCACAAGCCCTGTAAATGCAGTTCTTGACTATGGGCCGTCCTGCCAGCTCGAATAGCTCCTCCTGGCGAGGAGAGAGGGGAGGGGGAGGAGTGGGGGAGGGGTATTGGAAGGGGGAAGAGCCAAGGAGAATGGGAGGGAGAGGATTCAGGGGGGAGGGAGGGGGAGGAGTTAGGGGGAAGGGAGGGGGAGGAGTGAGGGGGAATTGAAGGGGAGGAGTGAGGGGGAATTGAAGGGGAGGAGTGAGGGGGAAGCGAGGGCGAGGAGTGAGGGGATGGCCTGTGAGGCGCTTCAAAAGAAGCTCCCAACTCCAAAAGCTCCTCATCCCAACTCTGCTCCGCCCCTTGCTTGTTGTCACTCCCCGATCTTCCCCTTGCTTGTTGTCACTCTCTGCTCTGCCCCTTAACAGCAAGAGGAGAAGCACACGCCAAGCTATGACAGCCACTCGCCCAGCTTCCATTCAATACACTGCCATGAACAGGAGTTGATATCTCCTTCCACTCCTGTTCTGCTCTGCCCCTTTCCCAGCCTCATGGTCTATCATCCGTCACAGGCCTGCAATGCACTCTACCCCCTCTTCCAAAGCGTCCTTTCACTGAAAGAGTTCCCCCACTTCACTGCAAGGGCTCTCCTCCTCCCTATGCCCACCTGCGACACACTCTCCCCAGCAACATGTTCGAACGTGAAGTGACTTTTGAGTCGACTCAAAAGTCTCCTCTTTTAAGTCGACTCAGAAGCTCTCCTCCCTATGCCCACCTGCGACACACTCTCCCCAGCAACATGGTCGAACGTGAAGTGCTTTCCCGCGAGAATCGAGCGACTGCGAACCCTGCTCCACCGCACACCGCTCCTCTGTCTTCCCCTTAAGCTCGCGGTTCACTAGAGGACGCACCCTCACTATGACCTGGCGGAAGGGGAGCGATTGAGCGGAGCGAGCAAGAATGGAGGTGGAAAGTGGAAGAGAAGAGGAGAAAGAAAAAGGGATGAGTACAAAAAATAGATGGCATGGAATGAGGCTGAGGGAGAGAGATGGAATGAGGCGGAGAGAGAGAAAGAGAGATGGAGGAGGAGGAGGGAGGGGCAGATCAGTACAAAAGAGGCAGCTTCTGCTCTGCAGCTCGGAATCGGATTCATTTTGAGTCGCCTAAGCTTGCGCCCAGTTTTGAGTCGACTCAAAACCGAGCTTGCGCCCGATTCCTTTTGCCACGTCTCAAAAGAACTCTGTAGCTCGCCTGAGCTTGCGCCCGATACGGTCGATACCTGGATGTTGGAGTCGCTGGCGTTGGCGTTGGCGTCGCCTGAGCTTGTGTCCGATGCCCGCATGGGGGTGCCGGCTGGGAGAGCCCGCATGGGGTTGGGACGTGTCATGGTGGTTGTTTTTGGGGTGCTGGCCGTGCTCGTGCGATCTGCCTCGTAAAGGGGGGGGGGAGGAGAGGAGAGGGGGGGAAGGGGAGGAAGGAGGGCAGACGGGGTAGTGGTGGGGGGAGGGGAGAGGGGGTGCAACGGGGGGAGGGAGAGGGAGCCTGAGGGACGGGACAAGCATTGTCCGTCCACGGACAGGCATAGTCTATTCGACTCGTGTCTCACACGACGACCTTTGATCCATGGAGAAACGGAAGGCGGATGAATGCCCAATCAAATCCGGGAGATTGTTACCGGTAGTCTACTTGAGTCGACTCAAGAGACTAGATCATCCGATCATGGGCATAGTGTATGCAATGCGCCTCGCACTAGGCAGCCTCGTTCACTCACAAGTCGGCCGCGGCGTAGTAGTCGTAACCACGTTGACCGCCAGCGGCGCAAGCACTGCTCGCGGCGTGCCGTGCAGCGACGACGACGACGACGACGGGCCCCCGCGCTGCGACGCCCCGCCTTGCGGGGGACGGCTGGGAGTATGATCCGCCTTGCCCGGTCCGCCTTGCACTCCCGCAGGTCTGCGACGGCTTGCGGATGCGGGCGGCGGAGCCTCATTCTCCTCCATCCTGAGCCAGGGAGAGAAATCATCAAGCCCGGATGTAAGAAGAGTAGAAACTAAGCGGTGGAATGGGGAATGCTTCTGTCACAAGTCTATCCTGCAACTAGGAAAGAAAGCATCAAGTTGGTATGTACGAAGAGTAAAACCAAAGAGGTGGAATGGGAAGTGGAGGATGAAAATCGGTTGCTTCAGAGTTTCGGCTCAAGTGATGGACTGCCATCCAGTGGATCATCCACTGGATGGGGCGTATGGTGGGTGGACGTGAGGGAAGGGAGGCGGAAGTGAGGGATTGAATAAAACTCTGAAGGCATCTGAGGCGGAAGTGAGGGATTGAATAAAACTCTGAAGGCATCTGAGGCGGAAGTGAGGGATTGAATAAAACTCTGAAGGCATCTGAGGCGGAAGTGAGGGATTGAATAAAACTCTGAAGGCATCTGAGGCGGAAGTGAGGGATTGAATAAAACTCTGAAGGCATCTGAGGCGGAAGTGAGGGATTGAATAAAACTCTGAAGGCATCTGAGGCGGAAGTGAGGGATTGAATAAAACTCTGAAGGCATCTGAGGCGGAAGTGAGGGATTGAATAAAACTCTGAAGGCATCTGAGGCGGAAGTGAGGGATTGAATAAAACTCTGAAGGCATCTGAGGCGGAAGTGAGGGATTGAATAAAACTCTGAAGGCATCTGAGGCGGAAGTGAGGGATTGAATAAAACTCTGAAGGCATCTGAGGCGGAAGTGAGGGATTGAATAAAACTCTGAAGGCATCTGAGGCGGAAGTGAGGGATTGAATAAAACTCTGAAGGCATCTGAGGCGGAAGTGAGGGATTGAATAAAACTCTGAAGGCATCTGAGGCGGAAGTGAGGGATTGAATAAAACTCTGAAGGCATCTGAGGCGGCAGTGAGGGATTGAATAAAACTCTGAAGGCATCTGAGGCGGAAGTGAGGGATTGAATAAAACTCTGAAGGCATCTGAGGCGGAAGTGAGGGATTTAATAAAACTCTGAAGGCATCTGAGGCGGCAGTGAGGGATTGAATAAAACTCTGAAGGCATCTGAGGCGGAAGTGAGGGAACGAGGCGAGAAATGCGCGCGGAATGAGGCTAGAAATGCGCGCGGAATGAGGCGAGAAATGCGCGCGGAATGAGGCGAGAAATGCGCGCTGAATGAGGCGAGAAATGAGCGCGAAATGAGCCGAGAAATGCGCGCGGAATGAGGCGAGAAATGCGCGCGGAATGAGGCGAGAAATGCGTGCGGGATGAGGCATTGCTCACCGGGCGGATTGAGGCGTGGGAAGCGGGCGTAGTGAGGCGTGGGATGCGGCCGGAGTGACGGGTGGAGTATGGGAGTCGCCAAGCAAGTGATATGGTGGTGTATTGCGTGAGATTAAGGCGTCATGAGGCTTGGAGACTGGACGCCGTGATGCTAGGTTTCAAAAGCTGAAGGAATAAGCCGGGCTAAGGTAAGTCGTGAGCGCGTCTCCTACGAGATAGCCGACTCTTCTACGGCGACGTCCCTAATTGATGATCTTGCATGCAGTTTTGTGAAGCAAGGAAGTGATGAGTTCACTTCAGTCCAAAAGTACTGCTTTATTCAGGTGCTACGATGCGGAGATGCCCCCTGTTAGCAGGGAAGTTACGTTGTTTTAACCAGCGGGAAGGTGTTGGCAATCGCCACTTTTCTTGTCTAACCCAATGTTGGTGTACCGGGCGTTCCAAATCAAAACTTCTGGTCGCAATCGCAACGGAACAAACTCTAGCAGGGCAACGATCAGAATGGTTTAAAAAATCCCATCTCTGTCCGGGAATGTCTCCAAAGAAACCTTGAAAGCTGTGATCGAAATGTTCTGACGAAGCGCGGAAGCACAGTCGATATATCCTATTCAAATATTCGCGCGGAAACAGTCTGACAACGGTCCGATACAAACTATTGCGTCACATCGTAAGGAGCCACAGTCAACGCGATTCAAGTTTGACCAACCTCGAAATATATCAGAGAACCTTTCTCACCTCCAAAATTTATATGAATAAACTAGGCAAGGATATTTTTTACGGAATGTACTTGGTGTAGTGTGTGGAAAAGCCAGTGTACTAATTCCTTAGAGCACCTTTCTTACGTAGCTGTTACGTCTAGTTACCAGCTCTCGTGGTGCACCACCACTTCGTACCATAATCGTAAAACCACCACACCACATTAGCAGCGAAATACCCCTACCTTTGGTGCCGCGCACTCCCTTGTCCCCCCGCTCCTGTCTCTTCTTGTCCCGTTCCCCTCCACTAGAACTCTTTCTTCTTCCCCTCCTCCCCTCGTCCCCTTCACCTTTCCTAGCGAACCAGGCGGTTACTAGGCTTGTACCCGTTTTAGACTTGTAGTGACTGCTCTCTACAAGCATGGCTGATAGAGGCGGATTCGATCGCGGCTTCGGCCGCGGGGACCGCGGAGGGCGCGGGGACAGGGGCCGCGGAGACAGGGGGCGCGGGCGCGGGCGCAGACGCTCGGACGATAAGGAGGAGGCGTGGGTGCCGGTGACTAAGCTCGGGCGGCTCGTGAAGGAGGGGAAGATCAAGTCGATCGAGCACATTTACCTCTTTTCGCTGCCGATTAAGGAGCATCAGATTGTCGAGGCGTTCCTGCCGACTCTTAAGGACGAGGTGATGAAGATCATGCCCGTGCAGAAGCAGACGCGCGCCGGGCAGCGTACGCGTTTTAAGGCGTTCGTCGTCGTGGGTGACTGCAACGGTCACATCGGCCTCGGCGTGAAGTGCGCTAAGGAGGTGGCCACCGCCATCCGCGGCGCGCTGATCCTCGCGAAGCTGTCCGTGATTCCCGTGCGACGCGGGTACTGGGGTAACAAGATCGGCAAGCCGCACACCGTGCCGACTAAGGTTACCGGGAAGTGCGGCTCGGTCACCGTGCGACTCGTGCCCGCGCCGCGTGGTTCCGGGATTGTGGCGGCGCGCGTGCCGAAGAAGGTTCTGCAGTTCGCGGGGATCGAGGACGTGTTCACGTCGTCGCGCGGCTCCACGAAAACGCTCGGCAATTTCGTGAAGGTTTGTAACCCCATGCACCGCGCACGCATCTCGCCAGCTGACCAACACAAGCGCGCCAATGAAAATGCGCCATTGAGCATGATCTTTCGAAAATGCGCGTCCGTGTCGGTCGCTATCCGACGCGTCGGAGAGGCCGTTTTCGTTCTGAGAATCTTTCTCCGTTTTTTTTCCTTAGAATTCAGAAAAACGGTCGCCATTCGACACGCAGGAGAGGCTCGCTTTCGCAGTAGCAGGGAAGGCCGGCAGCGGCAGGAAAAGGGTGGAGGGAAGGGGAGAGGGGGGGGACGGGGTGTGGTGGTGTGGGGAGGGGGGAAGATGGGCTGCCAGAGGGGGCGGAACTGTTATGAGGGCGCCTGGATTTAGCTTGTTGGTTTAGCACCTGCACCAACCGCAGATATCTAGGCTCGTCGTCACAAAGCGTTAGGGGGCGGGCGGCTCATTGACTTGTCGGCGTTTTTACTGCGCCCTCTCAGCTACTGCAGTGCCGGTCGTGGTAGCTAGCTCTTAGAACAGACGGCTACAGGTTAGAAGCGTGGTTAACACACGGATATTATCGAGCGATGGCGGACGGCGAGCTCTGTAGTGGACCTATGACGCGTAAGAGCGATCCGTGGGCCTGTAAGTCATTCTACTCGACTTGAAAGTCATTCCGAAGTCTGTACTTGCGGCCTGCGCATTCGTGAGCTGGTTGGTGGATCCAGCGTAGATATCTAGGCGTGAAGATATCGCTTTACTACCGCGTAGGTGTCCAGGCACACGCGGTTCACATTCATTGCTGGTAGAACGACGGTTGGTATGTAGGACGACGGTGTGAACAGATTCCTATGCGATACTTGACATGACGGCACTGATGGTTCGCGTACGCCAGATGATTCCGCGCCTAACTGTTGGAGCAGTGATGTAGTCAAGCTCTCTCACAACCGACTGGTGGCGTGTGATGCTTTGTCTATCGATGATTCACATGATGCGTCCCTCCCTCACAGGAATGGGACTCGTGAAATCAAACCCTTTGACTTCTGATGCCACGCGTCGTTTGCCATTCCCTCCCTCCCTTCCATGCCTTCACTTAGTCGATTTCCAGCTCATTGCTGCGCCCACTCCGCACCCTCCCCCCTCTTCGTCCCTCTTCATCCCCCCTCTTCACCGCCCCTCTTCACCCCCCCTCTTCACCCCCCCTCTTCATCTTTACCCCCCCTCTTCAACCCCCCTCTTCCCCTCCCCTCTTCACCTCTCTCGCCTGCACTTTTCCCCAACCTAATCAACCCCCCGCCCCCTCCCTCTCTCCTCTTCCTCTCCTCTCCCTCCCCACTTTTCTCTCATCACTTGGTGGCGTGTGATGCTTTGTCTATCGATGATTCACATGATGCGTCCCTCCCTCATGGGCACAGGACTCATGAAATCAAACCCTTTGACTCCTGATGCCACCAAAGCTTCTCTCCTCTTTCATTGCCTCCCTTGGCTTATTTCCGATTTAGCTCCGCTTTTCTCTTGCTCACAATCTTCCTCACACATGCCCCGTCTTCCCACTCGTTCTCCCGTTCCTCCCTCGCCCCCCTCCACACCCTTCTCCCTTCCCCAACCCGAATGCAACCCCTTCCCTTGGCGGCGGCAAGTGATGCTGGTCTATCGATGATTCACATGATGCGTCCCTCCCTCGCGGGAAGAGGACTCGTGAAATCAAACCCTTTTGACTCCTGATGCCACCACTGGCCTCGATCCCTCCCCCCTCTCCCCCCCCCACTCCCGCTTAACTTTCCGCTTTCCTCCCGCTCCTTGACTTCTTCAACTCCTTTATCAACCCACATTGAGTAGCCGCTCACTTGCTCCTTCACTCTCCTCACATACAACATTCTCCTGTCTTCCCAACACACGCTCGCCTTTCTCACGCTGACCCTGGCACACCACCAAGCTGCATTGTCATCATTCCCCTTACCTTGCCGTCCCATCCTGTCCCTCGCCTCCTCTCCCTGTCGCTCCCCGCAGGCCACCTTTGCTTGTCTGCTCACCACACGTACGCCATCCTCACGCCCAACCTCCGACACGCCACCAAGTTTCGTGTGCATCATCCGTTTTCCCTTCCATTCCCTTCCACTTGCCATCACTTGCCCCCGATTTCCACAGGCCACATTCGCCTGTCTGCTCAACACATACGCCTTCCTGACGCCCGACCTCTGGCACGCCACCAAGTTGTGTGTTCATCATCCACCTTCCCTTCCATTCCCCTGCATTGCCGTCCCTTGCCTTGCACCCCGCTCTCCCCTCTGCAGGCCACGTTCGCCTGTCTGCTCAACACGTACGCCTTCCTGACGCCCGACCTCTGGCACGCCACCAAGTTCACCAAGACGCCCTTCCAGGAGTTCACCGACTTCCTTGCCAAGCCCCACAAGCTCGCCCTCCCTGCCGTCGTGCCCGATGCCTTTGCTGCCCCCCCTCCTGCCGCCGCTGCCCCTGTTCCTGCGTTCTAGATGAGCCAGCGCTGAGTAGGAATGGGCTTGTTTCTGTAGATTCAATTTCTGAATGCACACAGTTGTGAATGATTGTGCTGCAAGTTAATCTGAGTCAAAGAACAAGCTTGTACCATATCCGTGTGTCCCTCTTTGTACTAGTAACTGCACAGTGCGCACACTGACAACACGGCCAGAGAGGTCACGCCACCAAGTTCACCAAGACGCCCTTCCAGGAGTTCACCGACTTCCTCGCCAAGCCCCACAAGCTCGCCCTCCCCGCCACTGTGCCCAGCCCCACAAGCTCGCCCTCACTGCCACTGTGCCCGATGCCTTTGCTGCCCCCCCCTCCTGCCGCCGCCGCCCCTGTTCCTGCTTTTTAGATGAGGCGTTAAAGAAGGGCTTCTTGTGGAATCAATGTTGAATTGAGCACAGTTGTGAATGATTGTGCTTGTAGTCAGAAGGCTTGTATCCATGTGTAACCTCTCCCTCTACACACACACATGCCTCTAGCACACCAGACCATTCAGTTTTCCATGCTTCTTTTCCAAGATTTATGCAGTACCAGTACATGTGAAGAAGCAATTACCAGTACTGGTACCTCCATTCAGTGTTAATCCAATCCCTACTTTGTAGGATTTCGTGCTTGTTGCAGTTTATATGTAAACATGCTGGTGGGTGACAAGTCAAGTGTACTACGGTCTACAGAACATTATTGTACCCATTCCCGCGCTGTTTTTGGCTCGGACTTTGTCCGCCATGCTAGGCAGCCGCAGTTCCCAATGCATACCTTCGTCTGACAGCGGCAAATGTAGTATGCATACTACTAGTATGCATACCTAGTAGGCATGCATACTACTATTAGGCACTCCCGTTTCTCCATGTAGGTACAACTAGTCTAGTTCTTCCTCCGCGCAGCCCGTTTCTCCATTTCAAGCTCGGGATGGTTCGCCGCCAAGAGCGTTACTAAAGCCAGCTACCGCCGCGCGCGCGCGCGCGCACGCGCGCTCGTGTCGATAAGAAGTTGCCCGTTTAGACTGTAGAACTTACCGTTGTGTGCCGCTCGTAGGCTCACGGCTCGTAGGCTCAGGACTCGTAGGCTCGTAACTTTTAGAGTTCTCAGAAATACCCTGCAACCTCAGCACCATGGCTGTCCGCAACCCCTTGTCCCGCTCGTCCCCCCTTACCGCGCCTTTAATTCCGTCCCCACGCCGCGTGATTCACATACCTCGTGTTCTCTCTCGGCTCGGATTGGCTCTCGCCGCGGTTGTTCTTCTAATCGCGGGGATCCACGTGGCGCCTGGGTATTGGTCGAAGGCGTGGCTTGGGATATGCCCCGCGCCGCTATGCGAGAACGGACGCGATTGCGCTAGCAGTTCCGGGTTTTTCGGCGTGGATTCCGGAGCCTCTGCTGGAGCTGGCGTTGTCGCTGCTCCTATAGCGGATTTCATGGCAATTGTATCGAATGACAGTTTAGCGGAGTTTTTGAAAGTGGTCACAAAACGTCCCCACATTGCGGGTACCCCTGAAAACTTTGAAACTGCCCGATACGTGAAAGAACAGTTGGAGGTGAGCCGCGCGCACGCGTTTTAAGCTGCTATTTTAGGCGTACTATAGTTAATAGCTTCGGCTCTGCACTAACGAGCTTGGCTTTCCCGCCCATTCTTTCCCGCCCATTCTTTCCCGCCCATTCTTTCCCGCCCGTTCTTTCCCGCCCATTCTTTCCCGCCCATTCTTTCCCGCCCATTCTTTCCCGCCCATTCTTTCCCGCCCATTCTTTCCCACCCATTCTTTCCCGCCCATTCTTTCCCGCCCATTCTTTCCCGCCCATTCTTTCCCGCGCATTCTTTCCCGCCCAATCTTTTCGGCCTATGATCCCCGTTTCTTCCCTCAGTTCTCTCCCTCTCCCCTCCCTTTCCCCCCTGTGCCCCTATTTCCCCCCCTGCGCTTTCCCCCTCCTCTCCCCCTCCGCCCTCCCCTCCCTGTCTCAGGCGTTTGGCATCGCAGCCCATTACGCCGATTACCCAGTGCTGCTCTCCCCCTCCCCCCCTGTGCTCGCCCCCTCTCCCCGTGTTCACCCCACAGGCGTTTGGCATCGCAGCCCATTACGCCGATTACCCAGTGCTGCTCTCCCCCTCCCCCCCTGTGCTCGCCCCCTCTCCCCGTGTTCACCCCACAGGCGTTTGGCATCGCAGCCCATTACGCCGATTACCCAGTGCTTCTGAGTCGGCCAATCAGGCAGCGCCTCGCGATCGTTGAGCCAATCACGCGCGAGCTGTCGCTCCGGGAGCTTCCCGTACCTGGCGACCCGTACTCCCACGACCCTCTTGCTTCGGTGCCGTTCCTGGCTTACACGCCCGGGACGAAGGGGAGGAGGAGCAGGGGAGGAAGGGGAGAGGGGAGAGGAGGAGGAGGAGGAGGAGGAGGAGGAGGAGGAGGAGGAGGAGGAGGAGGAGGAGGAGGAGGAGGAGGAGGAGGAGGAGAAGGAGGGGATGAGGAAGGGGGAAGTGTGAGGGGACCTGTCATATATGCCAACTATGGAACAGAGGAGGATTTCCAGATGCTGATTGATCTGCTGCGAGAGGGAGGGAGCGGGAAAGGAGGGGAAGGAGGAGGGGGAGGAGGAGAGGGGGAAGGAGGAGAGGGGAGGGGTAAAGGGGGGGTAGAGAGGGGAGGAGGCGCGGGAGGAGGTGGAGGGGGAGGCGAAGGGGCATGTGCAGGAGCGATAGTGCTGATGCGATATGGGAAGATCTACAGAGGAGACAAGGTGGGGGGCTGGAGATTTGGTTAGGGGTTGATTGTTACGAATGTTTTGCTTTTACAGGTTTTGGTTTACTTCTCGAGTCGACTCAAAAGTTCTCTCGCACCGCTTCACCCTGTTCGCCCTTTCCCCCCTTTCTCCCCTCCCTCACCATCAGGTGCGCAATGCAGCAGCGTGTGGCGCCAAGGCAGCAATAATCTACTCCGACCCAGCAGACTACGGTAGCACCACTCTCTACCCCTCTGGCCCGGGCCTGCCACCCTCTGGCGCCCAGGTGAGATTTCTGCTGTCTTCTCTCCGCTCCAGGGCATTTTAAGAGACGCATTCCACGAGTCCTCGGCTTTTGAGAACCCAAGTGACTTTTGAGTCGACTCAAAAGTCATCAGGTGAGATTTCTGCTGTCTTCTCTCCTCTCCAGGGCATTTTAAGAGAACCTTGGCTTTTAAGAGTGACGCATTCCACGAGTCCTTGGCTTTTGAGAACTTCCCTCCTTCCCCCCCTCCCACCCCCAACCCGGCTCAATCTACGAGTCTCTCAGAGATCCACAGGCGCCAGGCTGGCCGTCTCGCCTGCCCAACCTCCCAACCCCAACCAACCCCACACTCCTCTTCCCAACCTCCCAACCCCAACCAACCCCACACTCCCCACCCCTCCCAACCCCAACCAACCCCACACTCCTCTTCCCAACCTCCCAACCCCAACCAACCCCACACTCCCCACCCCTCCCAACCCCAACCAACCCCACACTCCTCTTCCCAACCTCCCAACCCCAACCAACCCCACACTCCCCACCCCTCCCAACCCCAACCAACCCCACACTCCCCACCCCACCCAACCCCACCCCCCTCCCTGCTTCCCCGAAACAGCGCGGCTCAATCTACGAGTCTCTCGGCGACCCACAGACGCCAGGCTGGCCCTCCCGCCCGGGCGGCGAGCGCTTGTCCTTATCCGAGGTGGCCGGCAGCCTGCCGCCCATCCCCGCCCTGCCGCTGTCGTACGGGCAGGCGAATTATATCCTGGAGCTGCTTGGGGGTGCTTTTGCCCCAGAAGAATGGATTGGGGATATCGAAGGGTTGGAGTATCGTGTTGGACCGGGTCCTGTAGTGGTGGAGATGGAAATAGAGGTGAGATGTGGTGGATGGTGGTGAGGAGGGGTGTAGATGGGTGGATTGGGGCGATTGAGGGGCTAGTGGAGTACCGTGTTGGGCCGGGGCCTGAAGTGGTGGAGATGGAAATAGAGGTGAGGGAGATACTGGTTGTGAGTGTTGAGGCATGAGCGGGGTGGAAGGGAAAGATCAAAGGGCTGGATGTGGTTGGCTTGGCTCAAATTAGTCCTCTTCAGCAACATTTCTCCCTTGGCTTCGCCTCGCCCCCTGCTCTCCCTTGCCATCATGTCTCCATGATCCAAACTATACCCCAGTTTCCCTTTCCCCCCCCTTGCCCTGTTTTCTTTCCCTGTGCTTTCCCCATCATCCTGCCCAGACCAGAATTGCTGCCGTGGATTATTAAATAAGAGTGTTGTGAATATCTGCTCTCCCGCCCCCGCCACAACCATCTCTCCTACCCCAATCCAGGTGAACGACACCGTTACTAACATTCGCAACGTGATTGAGTCGATCAAGGGCCAATCGGAACCTGACAGGTGGGTGGGGGCGTGGCAACATGGGGACGAGGGTGATATGCGTGAGAGTGTTTTGGCTTGGTCAACTAAGAGAGTGGGTCATCATGGTAATTTTGAAGTGAAGTTATCACGACTCGTGTGTATCTGGTAATTCTTTTGGCCAAACTCATGTGGTCCTTGATTTGGCCAGACGCATATCACACACACACCTGTTTCGTACCCCGCACGCACGCACGCCCCATGATCTCACCCACCACCCAAGTCCCCCATGCCCTCTGTGCCCCTTCACTTCCCCTCGCACGTGCAGATACGTGCTGGTGGGGAACCACAGGGACGCGTGGGTGTTAGTTGCTGCAGACCCCAACCCAACCCACGTCCCATGCTCTCCCTTCCGTGTCTGTTACATACGTGCCATACCCCTATCCTATGCCCCACCGCACGTGCAGATACGTGCTGGTGGGGAACCACAGGGACGCGTGGGTGTTAGTTGCTGCAGACCCCAACCCAACCCACGTCCCATGCTCTCCCTTCCGTGTCTGTTACATACGTGCCATACCCCTATCCTATGCCCCACCGCACGTGCAGATACGTGCTGGTGGGGAACCACAGGGACGCGTGGGTGTTAGTTGCTGCAGACCCCAACCCAACCCACGTCCCATGCTCTCCCTTCCGTGTCTGTTACATACGTGCCATACCCCTATCCTATGCCCCACCGCACGTGCAGATACGTGCTGGTGGGGAACCACAGGGACGCGTGGGTGTTAGTTGCTGCAGACCCCAACCCAACCCACGTCCCATGCTCTCCCTTCCGTGTCTGTTACATACGTGCCATACCCCTATCCTATGCCCCACCGCACGTGCAGATACGTGCTGGTGGGTAACCACAGGGATGCGTGGGTGTTTGGCGCTGCAGACCCCAACAGTGGCACGGCATGCATGCTCGAGGTAGGGAGGGACTACCGCCCTATGTTTGAAGCTATGCTATTGCATGCTCATGCGTTCATGCGTTCATGCGTTCATGCTGCCTGCTGCCTGACGTCTGCTGCCTGCTGCCTGCTGCCTGCAGTGCTTGCTTTCCCCCCCCCACACCTTTCCTCCCCCACACCTTTCCTCCCCCACACCTTTCCTCCCCCACACCTTTTCTCCACCCCTGGCTGGCTTCTCTCCCCTCCTCCTTCAGATGGCACGCGCGTTTGGGTCATTGCTGGCTGCTGGGTGGCGCCCTGCGCGCTCCATCGTGTTTGATCCCTCCTCCCATCCCCCCCCCATGCCCCCCCCCCCCCCCCCCCATCCCCCCCCATCCCCCCCCATCCCCCCCCATCCCCCCCCACCCCCCCCCCCAATCCCCACCCATCCCTCCCCCACTAACCCCCCCCATCAGATGGCACGCGCGTTTGGGTCATTGCTGGCTGCTGGGTGGCGCCCTGCGCGCTCCATCGTTTTTGGCTCGTGGGATGCAGAGGAGTTTGGACTGGTGAGCATGGGTGGGGAATGAGGAGGTATAGATGGGAGGGACTGATGGGGCTGGCTGTGACGACTGGCGAGGGAGGAGCCATATGGTATCAAGAGGGATGGACAGTTTTCAAAGCTCGACTCACTCAGAGTGGGTGGATGGAGGACAACACCCCAATTCTCTCGTAGGAGTGGGTGGGTGGAGACCACTCAAGAGATTCTCAAGAATCTTCAAAAGCTCTTCACCCTCCCTCCTACCAATCACTCCGACTCGTCAGATTGGGCCCACAGGGTGGGTGGAGAGGACAACGCCCCACTGCGCTTGTCAATTTCCTTGTCTTTATTAACTCACTCACTCACTCGCCCTGCCATTCTCCCTCCGCTATTCTCCCTCCCACTCGCCAGATTGGGTCAACCGAGTGGGTGGAGGACAACGCCCCGCTGCTCTCCTCTCGCGCTGTCGCTTACATAAACGTCGACACCGCCGTGTCTGGCGCTGGTTTTCATGCTGCTGCCACTCCACAGCTGGATGACGTCATCAGAGAGGTTGCTGAGCTGGTGAGTTTAGACTCCACTCAAAGGAGCTTGTGAGTGATTTGCAAGCGGTCGTGCACTTGTGGTGGTGCTGCTGGGATCGTTGAAGCGTGTCGGGTGCTGGGCTGTGTGCTGCTGCCACTCCACGCTGGATGACGTCATCAGAGAGATGGCTGAGCTGAGCTGGTGAGACCTGCAGGTGCCTCTGCATGCGCTTTCCGCTTTTTTCTTCTTCTTTTTTTGGGGGGGGAGGGGGGGGTGTATGTGTGTGTGTGTGCGCGCGCGCGTGCGTGCGTGCGTGCGTGCGTGCGTGCGTGCGTGCGTGCGTGCGTGCGTGCGTGCGTGCGTGCGTGTGTGCGTGCGTGCGTGCATGCGTGCGTGCTTTCTATGCGCTTCATTAGTTTTGTCTTTTTTGGCTGTCTCGTGTTTTTTTGCACCGTCCGGTTCGGGCAACCCATCATGCCCCTTCGTCTTGGGAAGTCACGCCTTGTCTTTGTATTGCACAGGTGGAGGATCCAGACAAGCAAGGCCAGTCGGTGTATGCCTCATGGGCTGAGAGGACCAACCGCACTGTGCCCTATGTGAGTAGCCTGTGAGTGGGGTGTGAGTCGCCTGCTAGTGGGCTGTGAGTGGGTTAATTGGTGTGTGTTGGCTTGTTAAAAGCATAGCAAGGCCAGTCGGTGTATGCCTCGTGGGCTGAGAGGACCAACCGTCCCACGTCCCATGCTCTCCCTTCCGTGTCTGTTACATACGTGCCATACCCCTATCCTATGCCCCACCGCACGTGCAGATACGTGCTGGTGGGTAACCACAGGGATGCGTGGGTGTTTGGCGCTGCAGACCCCAACAGTGGCACGGCATGCATGCTCGAGGTAGGGAGGGACTACCGCCCTATGTTTGAAGCTATGCTATTGCATGCTCATGCGTTCATGCGTTCATGCGTTCATGCTGCCTGCTGCCTGACGTCTGCTGCCTGCTGCCTGCTGCCTGCAGTGCTTGCTTTCCCCCCCCCACACCTTTCCTCCCCCACACCTTTCCTCCCCCACACCTTTCCTCCCCCACACCTTTTCTCCACCCCTGGCTGGCTTCTCTCCCCTCCTCCTTCAGATGGCACGCGCGTTTGGGTCATTGCTGGCTGCTGGGTGGCGCCCTGCGCGCTCCATCGTGTTTGATCCCTCCTCCCATCCCCCCCCATGCCCCCCCCCCCCCCATCCCCCCCCATCCCCCCCCCATCCCCCCCCCCCCCCCCCACCCCCCCCCCCAATCCCCACCCATCCCTCCCCCACTAACCCCCCCCATCAGATGGCACGCGCGTTTGGGTCATTGCTGGCTGCTGGGTGGCGCCCTGCGCGCTCCATCGTTTTTGGCTCGTGGGATGCAGAGGAGTTTGGACTGGTGAGCATGGGTGGGGAATGAGGAGGTATAGATGGGAGGGACTGATGGGGCTGGCTGTGACGACTGGCGAGGGAGGAGCCATATGGTATCAAGAGGGATGGACAGTTTTCAAAGCTCGACTCACTCAGAGTGGGTGGATGGAGGACAACACCCCAATTCTCTCGTAGGAGTGGGTGGGTGGAGACCACTCAAGAGATTCTCAAGAATCTTCAAAAGCTCTTCACCCTCCCTCCTACCAATCACTCCGACTCGTCAGATTGGGCCCACAGGGTGGGTGGAGAGGACAACGCCCCACTGCGCTTGTCAATTTCCTTGTCTTTATTAACTCACTCACTCACTCGCCCTGCCATTCTCCCTCCGCTATTCTCCCTCCCACTCGCCAGATTGGGTCAACCGAGTGGGTGGAGGACAACGCCCCGCTGCTCTCCTCTCGCGCTGTCGCTTACATAAACGTCGACACCGCCGTGTCTGGCGCTGGTTTTCATGCTGCTGCCACTCCACAGCTGGATGACGTCATCAGAGAGGTTGCTGAGCTGGTGAGTTTAGACTCCACTCAAAGGAGCTTGTGAGTGATTTGCAAGCGGTCGTGCACTTGTGGTGGTGCTGCTGGGATCGTTGAAGCGTGTCGGGTGCTGGGCTGTGTGCTGCTGCCACTCCACGCTGGATGACGTCATCAGAGAGATGGCTGAGCTGAGCTGGTGAGACCTGCAGGTGCCTCTGCATGCGCTTTCCGCTTTTTTCTTCTTCTTTTTTTGGGGGGGGAGGGGGGGGTGTATGTGTGTGTGTGTGCGCGCGCGCGTGCGTGCGTGCGTGCGTGCGTGCGTGCGTGCGTGCGTGCGTGCGTGCGTGCGTGCGTGCGTGCGTGCGTGCGTGTGTGCGTGCGTGCGTGCATGCGTGCGTGCTTTCTATGCGCTTCATTAGTTTTGTCTTTTTTGGCTGTCTCGTGTTTTTTTGCACCGTCCGGTTCGGGCAACCCATCATGCCCCTTCGTCTTGGGAAGTCACGCCTTGTCTTTGTATTGCACAGGTGGAGGATCCAGACAAGCAAGGCCAGTCGGTGTATGCCTCGTGGGCTGAGAGGACCAACCGCACTGTGCCCTATGTGAGTAGCCTGTGAGTGGGGTGTGAGTCGCCTGCTAGTGGGCTGTGAGTGGGTTAATTGGTGTGTGTTGGCTTGTTAAAAGCATAGCAAGGCCAGTCGGTGTATGCCTCGTGGGCTGAGAGGACCAACCGTCCTGGATCCTCTTTTCGCCCGCCACCGCGCCTCAGCCCAGCTGTGGGGTGCTCTTACTCTGCGCCTAGCAGGAGATGTGACTCTCCCCTTCAACTACTCTTCATACGCTCTCAGGCTCAAGGTGAGAGGCAAGGCTTTCTGTTGGAGAACCGTCCTGGATCCTCTTTTCGCCCGCCACCGCGCCTCAGCCCAGCTGTGGGGTGCTCTTACTCTGCGCCTAGCAGGAGATGTGACTCTCCCCTTCAACTACTCTTCATACGCTCTCAGGCTCAAGGTGAGAGGCAAGGCTTTCTGTTGGAGAACCGTCCTGGATCCTCTTTTCGCCCGCCACCGCGCCTCAGCCCAGCTGTGGGGTGCTCTTACTCTGCGCCTAGCAGGAGATGTGACTCTCCCCTTCAACTACTCTTCATACGCTCTCAGGCTCAAGGTGAGAGGCAAGGCTTTCTGTTGGAGAACCGTCCTGGATCCTCTTTTCGCCCGCCACCGCGCCTCAGCCCAGCTGTGGGGTGCTCTTACTCTGCGCCTAGCAGGAGATGTGACTCTCCCCTTCAACTACTCTTCATACGCTCTCAGGCTCAAGGTGAGAGGCAAGGCTTTCTGTTGGAGAACCGTCCTGGATCCTCTTTTCGCCCGCCACCGCGCCTCAGCCCAGCTGTGGGGTGCTCTTACTCTGCGCCTAGCAGGAGATGTGACTCTCCCCTTCAACTACTCTTCATACGCTCTCAGGCTCAAGGTGAGAGGCAAGGCTTTCTGTTGGAGAACCGTCCTGGATCCTCTTTTCGCCCGCCACCGCGCCTCAGCCCAGCTGTGGGGTGCTCTTACTCTGCGCCTAGCAGGAGATGTGACTCTCCCCTTCAACTACTCTTCATACGCTCTCAGGCTCAAGGTGAGAGGCAAGGCTTTCTGTTGGAGAACCGTCCTGGATCCTCTTTTCGCCCGCCACCGCGCCTCAGCCCAGCTGTGGGGTGCTCTTACTCTGCGCCTAGCAGGAGATGTGACTCTCCCCTTCAACTACTCTTCATACGCTCTCAGGCTCAAGGTGAGAGGCAAGGCTTTCTGTTGGAGAACCGTCCTGGATCCTCTTTTCGCCCGCCACCGCGCCTCAGCCCAGCTGTGGGGTGCTCTTACTCTGCGCCTAGCAGGAGATGTGACTCTCCCCTTCAACTACTCTTCATACGCTCTCAGGCTCAAGGTGAGAGGCAAGGCTTTCTGTTGGAGAACCGTCCTGGATCCTCTTTTCGCCCGCCACCGCGCCTCAGCCCAGCTGTGGGGTGCTCTTACTCTGCGCCTAGCAGGAGATGTGACTCTCCCCTTCAACTACTCTTCATACGCTCTCAGGCTCAAGGTGAGAGGCAAGGCTTTCTGTTGGAGAACCGTCCTGGATCCTCTTTTCGCCCGCCACCGCGCCTCAGCCCAGCTGTGGGGTGCTCTTACTCTGCGCCTAGCAGGAGATGTGACTCTCCCCTTCAACTACTCTTCATACGCTCTCAGGCTCAAGGTGAGAGGCAAGGCTTTCTGTTGGAGAACCGTCCTGGATCCTCTTTTCGCCCGCCACCGCGCCTCAGCCCAGCTGTGGGGTGCTCTTACTCTGCGCCTAGCAGGAGATGTGACTCTCCCCTTCAACTACTCTTCATACGCTCTCAGGCTCAAGGTGAGAGGCAAGGCTTTCTGTTGGAGAACCGTCCTGGATCCTCTTTTCGCCCGCCACCGCGCCTCAGCCCAGCTGTGGGGTGCTCTTACTCTGCGCCTAGCAGGAGATGTGACTCTCCCCTTCAACTACTCTTCATACGCTCTCAGGCTCAAGGTGAGAGGCAAGGCTTTCTGTTGGAGAACCGTCCTGGATCCTCTTTTCGCCCGCCACCGCGCCTCAGCCCAGCTGTGGGGTGCTCTTACTCTGCGCCTAGCAGGAGATGTGACTCTCCCCTTCAACTACTCTTCATACGCTCTCAGGCTCAAGGTGAGAGGCAAGGCTTTCTGTTGGAGAACCGTCCTGGATCCTCTTTTCGCCCGCCACCGCGCCTCAGCCCAGCTGTGGGGTGCTCTTACTCTGCGCCTAGCAGGAGATGTGACTCTCCCCTTCAACTACTCTTCATACGCTCTCAGGCTCAAGGTGAGAGGCAAGGCTTTCTGTTGGAGAACCGTCCTGGATCCTCTTTTCGCCCGCCACCGCGCCTCAGCCCAGCTGTGGGGTGCTCTTACTCTGCGCCTAGCAGGAGATGTGACTCTCCCCTTCAACTACTCTTCATACGCTCTCAGGCTCAAGGTGAGAGGCAAGGCTTTCTGTTGGAGAACCGTCCTGGATCCTCTTTTCGCCCGCCACCGCGCCTCAGCCCAGCTGTGGGGTGCTCTTACTCTGCGCCTAGCAGGAGATGTGACTCTCCCCTTCAACTACTCTTCATACGCTCTCAGGCTCAAGGTGAGAGGCAAGGCTTTCTGTTGGAGAACCGTCCTGGATCCTCTTTTCGCCCGCCACCGCGCCTCAGCCCAGCTGTGGGGTGCTCTTACTCTGCGCCTAGCAGGAGATGTGACTCTCCCCTTCAACTACTCTTCATACGCTCTCAGGCTCAAGGTGAGAGGCAAGGCTTTCTGTTGGAGAACCGTCCTGGATCCTCTTTTCGCCCGCCACCGCGCCTCAGCCCAGCTGTGGGGTGCTCTTACTCTGCGCCTAGCAGGAGATGTGACTCTCCCCTTCAACTACTCTTCATACGCTCTCAGGCTCAAGGTGAGAGGCAAGGCTTTCTGTTGGAGAACCGTCCTGGATCCTCTTTTCGCCCGCCACCGCGCCTCAGCCCAGCTGTGGGGTGCTCTTACTCTGCGCCTAGCAGGAGATGTGACTCTCCCCTTCAACTACTCTTCATACGCTCTCAGGCTCAAGGTGAGAGGCAAGGCTTTCTGTTGGAGAACCGTCCTGGATCCTCTTTTCGCCCGCCACCGCGCCTCAGCCCAGCTGTGGGGTGCTCTTACTCTGCGCCTAGCAGGAGATGTGACTCTCCCCTTCAACTACTCTTCATACGCTCTCAGGCTCAAGGTGAGAGGCAAGGCTTTCTGTTGGAGAACCGTCCTGGATCCTCTTTTCGCCCGCCACCGCGCCTCAGCCCAGCTGTGGGGTGCTCTTACTCTGCGCCTAGCAGGAGATGTGACTCTCCCCTTCAACTACTCTTCATACGCTCTCAGGCTCAAGGTGAGAGGCAAGGCTTTCTGTTGGAGAACCGTCCTGGATCCTCTTTTCGCCCGCCACCGCGCCTCAGCCCAGCTGTGGGGTGCTCTTACTCTGCGCCTAGCAGGAGATGTGACTCTCCCCTTCAACTACTCTTCATACGCTCTCAGGCTCAAGGTGAGAGGCAAGGCTTTCTGTTGGAGAACCGTCCTGGAGATCTTTTCGCCCGCCACCGCGCCTCAGCCCAGCTGTGGGGTGCTCTTACTCTGCGCCTAGCAGGAGATGTGACTCTCCCCTTCAACTACTCTTCATACGCTCTCAGGCTCAAGGTGAGAGGCAAGGCTTTCTGTTGGAGAACCGTCCTGGATCCTCTTTTCGCCCGCCACCGCGCCTCAGCCCAGCTGTGGGGTGCTCTTACTCTGCGCCTAGCAGGAGATGTGACTCTCCCCTTCAACTACTCTTCATACGCTCTCAGGCTCAAGGTGAGAGGCAAGGCTTTCTGTTGGAGAACCGTCCTGGATCCTCTTTTCGCCCGCCACCGCGCCTCAGCCCAGCTGTGGGGTGCTCTTACTCTGCGCCTAGCAGGAGATGTGACTCTCCCCTTCAACTACTCTTCATACGCTCTCAGGCTCAAGGTGAGAGGCAAGGCTTTCTGTTGGAGAACCGTCCTGGATCCTCTTTTCGCCCGCCACCGCGCCTCAGCCCAGCTGTGGGGTGCTCTTACTCTGCGCCTAGCAGGAGATGTGACTCTCCCCTTCAACTACTCTTCATACGCTCTCAGGCTCAAGGTGAGAGGCAAGGCTTTCTGTTGGAGAACCGTCCTGGATCCTCTTTTCGCCCGCCACCGCGCCTCAGCCCAGCTGTGGGGTGCTCTTACTCTGCGCCTAGCAGGAGATGTGACTCTCCCCTTCAACTACTCTTCATACGCTCTCAGGCTCAAGGTGAGAGGCAAGGCTTTCTGTTGGAGAACCGTCCTGGATCCTCTTTTCGCCCGCCACCGCGCCTCAGCCCAGCTGTGGGGTGCTCTTACTCTGCGCCTAGCAGGAGATGTGACTCTCCCCTTCAACTACTCTTCATACGCTCTCAGGCTCAAGGTGAGAGGCAAGGCTTTCTGTTGGAGAACCGTCCTGGATCCTCTTTTCGCCCGCCACCGCGCCTCAGCCCAGCTGTGGGGTGCTCTTACTCTGCGCCTAGCAGGAGATGTGACTCTCCCCTTCAACTACTCTTCATACGCTCTCAGGCTCAAGGTGAGAGGCAAGGCTTTCTGTTGGAGAACCGTCCTGGATCCTCTTTTCGCCCGCCACCGCGCCTCAGCCCAGCTGTGGGGTGCTCTTACTCTGCGCCTAGCAGGAGATGTGACTCTCCCCTTCAACTACTCTTCATACGCTCTCAGGCTCAAGGTGAGAGGCAAGGCTTTCTGTTGGAGAACCGTCCTGGATCCTCTTTTCGCCCGCCACCGCGCCTCAGCCCAGCTGTGGGGTGCTCTTACTCTGCGCCTAGCAGGAGATGTGACTCTCCCCTTCAACTACTCTTCATACGCTCTCAGGCTCAAGGTGAGAGGCAAGGCTTTCTGTTGGAGAACCGTCCTGGATCCTCTTTTCGCCCGCCACCGCGCCTCAGCCCAGCTGTGGGGTGCTCTTACTCTGCGCCTAGCAGGAGATGTGACTCTCCCCTTCAACTACTCTTCATACGCTCTCAGGCTCAAGGTGAG